GTCCGCAGCGGGAGGGGCCAGGTGGGGTTAGGGAGGATGGGCTGAGACCCACCCCTGTGCCCATTACAGCCTTGCAGTCCATGGTTCCTTTCAAGGTGCGCGAATTCGTGCACTGGGTCCCTCGTATTGAATAAAGGGAAGGTGAGAGTGAGAGAGGAGTGGTAAAGAAAGGACTGATGATTCAGGAATTAGTTCCCAAGGAGAAAAGGGTGTTGCATTTCAGAGCACTGGTAGTTGAAAGGCAGAGGAATGGGAGAGTGAAGAGGCTAGAGATACAGAAAATGGATACAGATAAGTCAGCTTCCAGGTAGAAGAATGTACTGTAAGCAGGGTTAGGAACAGAGGCAATTAGAGGTGACCCTGTGGTATTGGGAAAAAGAAATCAGGAAATAGAACGCAGTGGGGACATCTGAGAGTAGAGAGTTCATCCAAACAATAAACAGTACAAGCAGGATTGGTAGCAAAGGGTCATAGTGTAAGCTAGGAACCCTGACACCAGGGAAAATCAGAGGATTAGAAGTTTTACTGCAGCTCTTCAGGAACTTGTGTTTCTAAAGAAGGCAGGAAACAGCCACCATTAACTGGCTCATATCCTAAAGGTAAACATGAGGAAGGAACATTTGACTAGGTGAGGGGGCATGAGAAAGATCCAGCAGAGTAAATGGTAAAAATTTTTTACCAACAAAAACATTCATATGATGTTAGAAATTTTAGAATAAGGACTTTCTCTGCTTTCTTGGTCCTCAATATTCCCTTAATGGGGTATGTCTAAGTGATTCAAAAAGGACTTGGACACAGTATTCACCACAGGCCCCTCGCCCAGGCTGCCCCACACCCCAAGGGAACCCCCATCCTGATCCGGGACACCCTTCAGGGCAAACCAGCTAGCCCCCACCCATGCACCAGGCCTCTATTCTATCTAATAAGAGTAATATGCGAATTGACCATCACTCCAACACACAAGATCAAGATAGCTGCCCCCATGTGGTCAAAGATCCTGCCCCCATGTGGACACAAGATGGCCAGCAGGGGAGAGCAGTTCAGAGGCACCAAGCCTGCAAGGGAGGGCAGTTGAGAGGGACCAGGTCTGCAAGGGAAGGCAGTTGGAGGCGATCAACCCTGTAGGAGAGGGCAGTTAGGGGTGACCAGGCTGGCACAGGAGGGAAGTTGGGCAAACAGGCTGGCAGGTAAGCAGTTAGACATCAATCAGGCTGGCATGGGAGTGGTTAGGGGGTAATCAGGCTGGCAGGAAAAAGTGGTTAGGGGCAATCAGGAAGCATGCAGGTGAGCAGTTGGAAGCCAGCCGTCCTGGATTGTACGAGGGATGTCCGACTTCCCATTTAGACCCGATCCCAGTGGCAGCCCTCCATGAGGGCTGTCAAGGTGGGATCAGTTTTAAACGGGCAGTTTAACATCCCTTGAGAGGTCCAAATTGGAGAGGATGTAGGCTGGGCTGAGGGACACTCCCCCACCCCATGCACAAATTTCGTGCACCAGGCCTGTAGTCATTATATAAAAATAGAAAATGCACATAAACAAAAAGAATTGTCTAACTGCAAATAATAAATGAATCAGTTGTAAGTTTTGTGTCTAGGGAATAATTGGTTTATCGAAAGCTATTTCCTATAAAGGTAAAGGCATCCATTCTCAATGAGAAATTTCTTTTGAATTGTAAAGATGGACAATACTATTAAGAAGTTAATGAGCCTGGTTCAGTGGTTGAGAATCGACCCATGAAGCAGGAAGTCACTGTTGGATTCCCAATTAGGGCATCAGGGCACATGCCCAGGTTTCAGGCTCATTCCCCAGTAGGGGGTGTGTAGGAGGCAGTCAAACAATGATTCTCTCTCATCTTTGATGTTTCTCTTTCCCTTCCTCTCTGAAATTAATAAAATATATATGTATTTTTAAAAATTAATGGTTTAGGAAAGAGCTGAATAATCCTACAGTCATATGTCGAAGTCATCATTGTTGGGATAGATTGAAAATTGCAAAGGTAGTATAGAGTCTCAGGTGTGCTGGATTCTTACAGAGGTCGGAGGTCATACGCCACAAGTTTCCAGTTTAATTAGCAGGTGATACTCAATGTCATTGAAAGCAAGATAGCTTCTGAAGCACCTTGCCCTTCTATATATTCAGGGTATAGGTGACCATTCAGAATAAACCATTTTTTATCCTCTATTGAAACATAATATTTACAGATGTTTTTCATTAAACCCAGTTCTCTGCAACCACCTTCTTTGCTCTGATTTAACTCTGCTTGGTGGTATGGGAGATTCTGATACTCAGTGTGAGACCAACTGTAATAAACGAGTTCATTTCCCTGCTTTTAGCAAAAGAGTCTGAAGCCACTTAGAAATGATTTTTTCCCTTTCTCTTTAGATACTAGAGGCCCCAGTGCACGGTATCCATGCATATGTAGGGTCCCTAGGCTTGGCTGGTGATTAGGGCCTATCTGTGGGGCCTGGCACCACCCTCTTGCCTGCTCCATCCCCCACCTCCACCGCCTGTCAGGACCTGTGGACTGGGGTTAGCTCCTGTGCTGAGTATCTGCACTCTGATGGTCAGTCCATGTCATAGTGACTGGTCATTCTGCCATTAGGCCTATTTGCATATTAGGCTTTTATTATATAGGATAGCTAGATTCTAAAGAGTTTACTAAAATATAATATTACTTTAAGTTTTCATTTCTGGCCTTTAGTCTTCCTCAAATTTTCTATTTTCTTTTCTGGTATGATATGAATTGATCTCATTTCATCCCTCCCCTTTCCCCCAAATGAATGCCTTGTTTTTCATTTATTTATTTTCCATTTATTAACTCCATTGTTTCACAGGAGTCTGACCTGCAGGGCCTCCTCACCATGTTTTCCATGTCCTGATGTGTGTGGCTGTGTCTGACTCTATCTGATCTATTTATTTACCCTGTACTAGTCCCACATGGCCCTGTCATTGCTCTGTGACCAGTCTTCCTATCTTGATACACATTTGAGAAATAGAAGGAAAAAAAAACACAAAAAACGAGAAAGAAAATAACTTGTTGAAATGAAATTGCTTTGAGATGAAATAACTTATTTGACATGAAATTGCTTTGAATCCATTGATAAATTTGGGAAGAACTTATTCTTTATAAGATATCTTATAACACTCGACCCTGTTGAATGTTATAATAAACTAGAGGCCCAGTGCACGAATTCGCGCACCAGGGGTCCCTAGGCCTGGCCTGCAGGATTGGGCCAAAATCAGCTCTCCAACATCCCCCGAGGGATCTTGGATTGTGAGAGGGCACAGGCAAGGTAGAGGGACCCTACTGGTGCACGATTGGGGCCGGGGAAGGACTGTGGCATGTCCAGCCCATCTTGCTCAGTCCCCCCCAGCAGCAAACTATCCTACCGTACTTGTCAGGGCGTTTGCCTCCTGGTGTTCAGTGCACATCATAGCGAGCTGTTGGGCGGCCTTAGAATATCATTAGCCATTATGCTTTGAATGGGTGACTGGACAACCAGATACTTAGCATATTAGATTTTATTATATAGCACCGGTGGGGTTCCTCAGCCTTGCCTGTGGGGATATGCTGCCACAGCCTGTCCTTATCTACCAGCTTGTCAGATTCCAGCCTGCTGTCTGCGTTGATCCTGCACAGCATGAAGTAGTGCATGAAGTAGCAGGAGGCTGGGGAGAAGCCTGAGCCTGAGCCTGGACTGGGCACCGCCACACTCCCGCTCATCCTGGCCCCACTGCTCCTGCCACCACTGCTCGGGGCACACAGGGGGAGTGTCTGCGAGAGAGGCTCACACTGCTGCAGCTGTGCTCACCAGAAGCGAGCCCAGCATCTGATGCCCATCTTTCAGCTAAGCGGTGCACCTGCATTGGCCTGGCGATGCCCACTCACCTGCTCCATCATCCCACTGTGGTCCTGCTCTCGTCAGAGCCCAATGAGGACAGCAGCACCTCCATTGTGTTGCCAGTCCCCACCAATGCCCCATGGTGTTCAGCGCATGTCATAGCGAGCAGTTGAACTCCCAGTCGAGGGGACAATTTGCATATTAGGCTTTTATTATTTAGGATGTGTTTAAATTAAGAGCAAGTTTGTGTTGCTCTTGTCAAAGTCACCAATGAATTTCTTCTGTCGAAGCCAAATGCTGAGAAGGATGAGACCAGGGGAGAACCCTGGTACCTCCTTGCAGCTCCATCTCCACCATCTTAACAGCATTGAGATGACAGTGATCTCTTCCTAAACATCTCTCGCTCATGCTTGTCGAGCCTGTTTCCTAGTCACCACATCCATTTCTGATTTCTCCAACACTGTCTTAGATTGTAATTGTTACTTGTAGTTTTGTTCCTGTTTCCTAAGCTCTTGGATACTTGTCCTGCAGTCCTGCTTTTAGATATCATTGCAATGGACTTTCTTTCTTTTGCATCTCTCCTCCACCTTGGAGGTACTTTGGAAAGTGCTTATACAAATAGATCAGATGGGGGTGTCCCTCAGCCCGGCCTGTCCCTTCTCACAGTCCAGGAACCCTCAGGGCCAGGAGGTGACCAGGCAATCAGGGGAAGGCAAAACCTTTATCACACCTCTGCTGCTGCCACTGCCGGCAGTGCAAGCCTCTGCCAGCTCTGGTTACCTGAGCTGAGGCTTGCATGTACCTCTGGTCTGCCCTGGGTGGTCTGAGGCTTGCCTGCACCTTGGGCCAGTCTTGTATGGCTGGGTGGCTGAGAGGACTGGGGGACTCTGGAGGCAGGTGCGTGGAGTGGCCTCGCCTGCTGCTCTGGCCAGGCTGAGGGGACTGGGCGCCATCATCTTTGAGGGCGAGGCATCCAATTAGCATATTTCCTCCTTATTGGTTGGGGGCACTGCCATCTTTGTGAGGGCGTGACAGTCAATTAGTATGTTCCCTCTTTATTAGATAAGATGCCTGGTAAATGTTGGTAACTGAAGTCTAGTGCTTAATTTCATTTGAGTTTGTGTTTGTCATAATTACGTTCTTTTGCTTGCTTTCTAGGCACACAAACGAATGGTCTGGACTTTCAGAAGCAGCCTGTGCCTATTGGAGGAGCAATCTCAACAGCCCAAGCCCAGGCTTTCTTCGGACATCTCCACCAGGTAGAACGTTCTGCTTGATTGTGAGAGAGGGAAGGATGGAGGCCTGGATGCTGGGGCCTGGGCAGGTCTCTCAGGATGTGGGACTTCTTCAGTTGATCAAGCCTGGTGCTAATCACATCTAATCATGCCATATTGAAGGCTAGTCCACATCTTATAATTTAGTTGACTATAGCTATTGACCCCACAGCTGGGAATGTGTCAATATTATGTTAATCCTCCATCGATAATGTTTGCCTGAGTCATTTATTATTATCATGGTCCCAGTGGTGCTCTTTATTTTAATGTAACCGTGGTTTGAATTTCTGAACATATGACATGTGAGTGTGAATTAGTATGATAGCCTTCTGTGCGCTTCGTAGGACAGAATCCTTTCGGCTGGTGCTTATAGCTAGGACTATCATGTCTTAAGGACTTGACTCTGTGGTGTGCACATATGTAAGATTTTTACTCTGCCATGTACATGGAGATTTTGAAATTAGAGTGAGCAGATAATTCTGATAGATTATAATAATAACGCACGTAAGTAGCTTGTTCTTTTGTGTTCTTTCACACAATGTGGAAGATTAATTAAGTTTTTAGTCCTAAGTGTTTATGAATACAAGCAAAATGTGATGTAAGGAGTGTCTGACTGACAGTGTGGCATCCCGGTGATGCTAACTGAGTGTGGGCAACACCCTCCAGAAAGTAGTGGGAGCAGCATTTTCTCCTGGGAGATGGAGGGACCGTGAACTTGTCTGCAGTTTTAACCCCAGCAGGTAAACCTCTTTCAGCCTCAATTCTAGCTCAGTGACACACTTGGTAGAGGTACTTGAAGTCCTTGTTGAGGATAGCTCTATTGATGGACCCTCATGCCCTGGTTACTTACCTGCAGGTCCAGCTCGCAGGAACAAGTGTGCAGGCTGCTCAGTCTTTAAATGTACAGGTAAGCTGGCATGTGGGCTTGCGGGGCACTTTTTCCATTTTCCCCTAGTTTTCCAATTTCATGGAGTGAGCAGGCAATAATTTTATAATAGGAAATACTTAGGGATAGTACCCTTTCTGTATTATTGATTCTCATGAAGATCCAAATAGAGATAATCACTGCCACTAATGAAGATGGATTTCACAGGGTGCTGCTACTGTGTGTGACCTAAACCGATCAAGAAAGGTCCATTTTCAAAGTTTTCTGTGTAAATCCAGGAAAACGCTTCCAAGTTATACAGCTGTAGCGCATCCCTAACACCAAGCCAGATAACGTCTTAAGTGTCCTTCTGTTTCCAACTGGCTTCCTGTTGCTCATTGTCATATCTTAGAGAAACACTCCAGTACAGAGGAACCAGTCTTAGGTTTGATTCTCAAACTTGAGGTTTAGCAAGTCACCTAACCTCCGGTGCTCATGTCTTCTGATCTGCCTTTAAGTGGGTAACTTGAGAGGATTGCCAGGGTACTTCTCTGCTTGTAAATGTTATGATTCTGAGGATTGTAAGGGAACCTGTTTATAGATATTGATGTGCTTCAGTCAGTCACAAGTTTAAAACAACACTTAAATCTAGCTACATTGCTTCTGTGAATCATGGCAAAAGCATGCCAGGTTCAAATATTAGGCATGACTCCTTAATATTTCAGTCAGCCTGCTGCTTCCTTTCATTAGCATGTTTAGGTAACTAAGAGCCAAGAGGGGACACAGTTTCTGGAAGATTGGTTTCAGTGTTGCTAATGACTCAAGACCTGGGGTTGAGCATTCCCTGCAACCCAGTGTAATATGGGCCTACCAACACATGGAAACAAGGAGGGAAAAGAGAGGGAGATAGTGCAACCTCCCTTTGTGAGGGAGAGGACGTGGAAAATCGCCTGGGTTGCCATGGTAAACTTTCATCCCTTAGAGAGATGTTGGCAAACAGGCTGTGTCTCCAGTGCCACTTGTTTACAGTCCTGCACTGTAATTACTTCACTGACTGGCAGAATTAATCAGAGCCTCTATGTTAATTAGCCTTGCTGCAGTCCCCAAAACAGGTGCTGGGAAATATGCAAATCTATGCAGCATTTCAATGCTCTGTATAACCAGTGTTAATTTAACATAAAATGTTCTCTCAGTGCCCCTTCAGGACTGAGTTCTTTCCCTCCTGAGGGCAGCGTTTTCCTCTAAGCTGCAGTGTTACTCGATGGGCGATGCTAGATTAAAGTTCTCCAGATCCTAGAGGAAGTTCCATGGGCCAAGCAGTCACTCTGCTGTGGGAGTGAGGCCAGCCTGCCCACCAAAGGCACTTCAGACCGTGGGCCTGGAGGCTCTCCCTTAGAGGGTGGAAAGTGCGCCTCACCCCTCATCCCTTCCCATAGCAGAATTCTGCCGGTTTGTGGAAGACCAAATTATTTTTTCTTAAAAATTATAATTGCAGCTTTGCTGGCAAGGGAACAACAACAACAACAAAAATCTATAAACTTAATATGCAAAATCAGGAAAACATAAAGATTTATAAGGAAGGAAAAAGAGTGAAACCAGAAAACTCACGACTGAATAAGTTCATGTTTTAAATAATTCTTGAAATATGGAGTTATAGTGCATTTCTTTTAATGAACGATTTGAAATCTCTTTACCCTTCCCACCTTCAGTCTAAATCTAATGAAGAATCGGGGGATTCCCAGCAGCCAAACCAGCCTTCCCAGCAGCCTTCAGTGCAGGCAGCCATCCCACAGACCCAGCTCATGCTGGCTGGAGGGCAGATAACCGGGGTAAGTTTCCTGGGAGCATCGTAATAGACGTTCTGTGTCAGACTGCCATTGGCCAGCTGTTGGTTAGGAGACTGCTGCAGCAGGCAGTAACGGAGCTGGGCCTGGCACCATTATGTCTTTAGGGAACCCTCTACACTGGAGGCAGCTCTGAGAAGGGAATTACTTATGTTTCAGGCTATCTTTTCTACAATTGCAGATGCTTGGGACAAACTGACGGTGTTTCTAAGCCCATGTTTCCACTATTGCTTCGTCATACAGTGGAATCATTGTCCAGTGGGTGAGACTCTTGCATTGATGAATAGTAGTGACTATTTGCGTTATGAGCAGAGTTAAAGAAGGGAATAATGCCTACAAAAGAAGATTTAAGTTACAGTGTGATGTTCTAAAATTTAGCTTCTGGTCTCAAATTCTGGCTCTCAGTTTACCTTCTGGACTAATTATGCCATCTCCCTGTGGCTTAAATGCAGATGTTGATAATGCCCATGCCACAGTATTGTTATAAAGACTAAGGCTAATACTGTATGTAAAACTCATAGAACAGTGCTGGGCACATAGTATTCAATAAATGTCATTTATTTTTATTGGCAATAAGTTGGCTTATGTGAATATATTGAACATTTAACTTTTCAGCTGTCTTTGCTCTTAGACACCATTTAAAATATTTTTCCAGCCTGGCCAGCAGGCTCAGTGATCAGCCTATGAATCTGGAGGTCAAGGTTCAATTCTGGTTAGGGCACATGTCCGGGTTGTGGGTTCAGTCACCATTAGGGGGCATGCAGGAGTCAGTCAATGAATGATTCTCTCTCATCATTAATGTTTCTCTCCCTCTCCCTTTCTCTCTCAAATCAGTAAAAGTAATTTTTTAAATATTTTTCCAGTGCTGAAAATTTCTCATTATTTTGGGAGGAGGAGATGGGATGTTTAGGAGTAGTGAGGAAGAGTTATTTATTAATCGATTCATATCACATCAACCCACAAAATTTTGTATGTCCTTCATTTCCATTAAGTATGTTTTGGCAGTAGAAGGCTCTTCTAAGAATTATTGCAAAATTGTTTACAAAATCCCATTAGTAGAGATGAATACATGTTCATGGAAGGGAATCTGACTTTTAATCATTTGATTCGGATCCGGTCTCTGAGCCACAGGCAGGTTGTACCGCCCTTTAGGAGGAGGTGTGCCGCCGAGTGGCAGTCCTTGCTCCTCGGAATATGAGCGTTCCTTCTCCTGTGGTTAGCGCGTGACCACCAGGAAGGAGGAGCACACTGCTTTAGTGCAGCTTGAACTGAGTTGCATTGTGAAAGCAAGTTTAAATCTACTCTGAACACATTTCTTCTGTTACTGGTTGAGCTTTGCTTTGGGTGGTGAGTTTCTGCAATAGTGAGGGACACTTAGGATTTCAGGTTTATGTGCTTGGAGCTCTAGTAAACCTGGCATCAGTGATTATCTGCATTTAGAGAGGGGCTGTCACCACCTGTTTCACAGAGCTAGCATGTGGGAAAGGGGATGTAAAGCTGCAGACCCATTCCTTTCAATAGCAGAAAAGACTGCTGGAGGGAGGGGGCTGCCGGGAGACTTGGAAAAAGAGCTCATATTCTTCAGTCATATCTTCAGCCATAATGGAAATGACAGACTAGGGCAGGATTCGTGCTAATGGGGAGCAGCTGGGCCTTATCAGCCTTTCCTGTGGTCCTCATTCATCTGAATACCCACTTGCTGCTCTGTTGGGTATACATTTCTTTTCATAGCCTGTCAGCGTTGATTTTTTTTTCTTATTTCTTGCTTACTAGTTAATTACTGTTTTGCTTGAAACCTAGGGCCCTGGACAAGCTTGAATGATTTAAGTCCAGAGTGAGGGCCCTGGACAAGCTTGAATGATTTAAGTCCAGAGTGAGGTCCACCATTTTCATTTAAATGTTCTGCTGGTAATGGTAGCTTGGTCACTGATGAACATTTTAGCCTCATGCTAAATAACCATGTGAAGTTTGTAGCTAAAGTCTAATACCACTTGCGTTACCTACTTCAGAGCAGTTGATTGAATTAGGGGCCCTTATCCTTTAATTCTTTCCAATTGTCTGTCTCACTTTGTTTAGCTCACTTTGACGCCAGCCCAGCAGCAGTTGCTCCTGCAGCAGGCACAGGCACAGGCACAGCTGCTGGCGGCTGCGGTGCAGCAGCACTCCGCCAGCCAACAGCATAGCGCTGCTGGGGCCACCATCTCTGCCTCCGCCGCCACGCCCATGACGCAGATCCCGCTGTCTCAGCCCATACAGATCGCACAGGTGAGTGAGCAGCTCCCGGAGCCTGGAAGGTAGAGGCACAGTCTCAGAGCCGGGCGGGAAGTGAGGATCAGAAGGGCAGCTTTCCTTTAATTGGAAATTCACTCTCTGGTTGTTAGTGGGGCCCTTGCAGGCCCAGGATCTCTAAATAACTGACTGCATAAGGTGACAGTTTTTGAATAACGCTGGATATTTCTGCGTTTCATTAGCCTCTGGCTGCAGCCTGCTTTGTCCTGTGCACAGTGAGCACTGCCCCTGTGCACCCTATCCTATGCCACAGTGAGCGCTGCCCTGTGCAGCCTGCTCTGTCCTGTGCACAGTGAGCGCTGCCCCTGTGCAGCCTACCCTATCCTATGCCACAGTGAGCGCTGCCCCTGTGCAGCCTACCCTATCCTATGCCACAGTGAGCGCTGCCCCTGTGCAGCCTGCTCTGTCCTGTGCCACAGTGAGTGCTGCCCCTGTGCCACAGTGAGTGCTGCCCCTGTGCAGCCTGCTCTGTCCTGTGCCACAGTGAGCGCTGCTCCTGTGCAGCCTGCTCTGTCCTGTGCCACAGTGAGTGCTGCCCCTGTGCCACAGTGAGTGCTGCTCCTGTGCAGCCTGCTCTGTCCTGTGCCACAGTGAGCGTTGCCCCTATGCAGCCTGCTCTGTCCTGTGCACAGTGAGTGGTGTCCCTGTGCAGACTGGCTCTGTCCTGTGCCACAGTGAGCGCTGCCCATGTGCGGGCCAGTGAGGCACCTGCTGCCACCTGGCGCCTGCTGCTGCCCAGCTCTGCCCAGTTGGGCAGAACTTTCTTAGGATATTGCTTGGTTTCATTTTTCACATTTTGGAGCCAAGTATCAGAGATAATAAAAATGTATTTAAGAAGCATAGACAGTACCACCAAGGAGGGAGGCAAATGAGATCCTTCGTCTCAAGGAGAGGAAGAGAGAAGGGGTAGTCAGGGCAGTGAGGTCTGTGAAGATTGTTTGAGCCTGGCCTGCACAGCTGTGTTCATCCCCGAGGGAGGCCTTGGAATGGCCTGAAAGGGAGCGGAGTGTGACTAGGCAGCACAGAGAAGCCACTAAAGAGTAGGGGAGAGATGTCAGACTAACTTTTTTGGCTATTATATACAATCTTTATCAAGATGGTGTTTTTATTTTGACCACTTCCTTCATCACCAAAAACATGTTGTCAGTGCCTAAGCTGTGAGACCCTAAGTTGACATTGTTTAATAAGATAAGATGCTATCGATCAGATTTTTTATGGATAACTTAATATTTCACAGTGATTTCTCAGTTGAATTCAATGAGCTGGTGCCAAATTTCATAAATCACTATAGATTTTTAAATTTGATTATGCAAATTCAGATAGCACTTTCAAATTTTACTTCAGAGAAAAGTCAGTCAAGTATTTAAAAATTCAACATTCTTTTCTCATTTGATTTTTAAACTCCACTTAATTTTTAAAACCCATATTGGTCTCTACATGTTAAAACGCAAACTATAACTGTTTTTTGTGGGAATTGGAAATAGCTATTGAAAATTAAGCTCATTTTAAGTCACGACACAATATCTGCCAACAAATATAGTCCTTGTAGGAGCTCCATTTTTTTCTCTCGCTTTGTGGACACACCCGAGTGTTCGTTCATGCAGGAGTGAAAAGTGTTGCCTGACTGGGTGGAGACAGAATGCCTCATCTGAGAATGTTACGAATAAGCAACTTTTATCTCCCTCTCCAACCATGTTCTAATTCTAATGCTTTAGGATCTGCAACAGCTACAGCAACTTCAGCAGCAGAATCTCAACCTGCAGCAGTTCGTGCTGGTACATCCAACCACCAACTTGCAGCCAGCACAGTTCATCATCTCACAGACGCCGCAGGGCCAGCAGGGTGAGCCCATCACAGCTGTCCACTTGCAGGGCACGCGGCCCTGAAACTGCCCGTTAAAACAATGTTTTCCTTAAATTTTATTGACCTTTAAGCTCACTGTTCATGTTAAGAGGAGTATTTTTTCCATGCATACCACAATACTGAAGGTAGTTCTTCCCTGCCATTATCTCTGTAATCACTAAGGAGGAACCAAGAGTTTGGCCAAAAGTCTAAATGAAATCCCTCAACATGCTGAACATAAATTGGGTAAATTGCTTCTGGTGTTTTGGTAGTTTTTCCTGGAAGTATATTCAAAGAATGTGGGCCAAGAATTATATATGTTTCTAACAATCATTTGGTTTATTTTAAGGTTTGAGAAGGGGAGAGGGTGTTATACTAGAAGGTGTGCACGTCTTGTGAATGATAAAAACTGTCTTCACTGCTTTTTGGTGGTGAATATTGTATCAACAATCCGGTTGATCATGTTTATAAAACTGGCTAATGGCATCAGTGCAGAGGATGTCCGGGTGTTTTTCAAGGGTTCAGCCCACTAGTGCTTCTCTGTGGTTCCTCTTCATTGCTGTTGCTTAGCCTTTTTTCTTGACCATTCATTCACTCCAGAACCTTTTGTTATGCAAATTCCTGTTACCCTTAAAGGATATTCTGCTCCCTTCATGAACTAGACAATTCTCTGGTTGTTTGTGAAGGATTCTGCGTGAGAAATTGAGCTCTTGGGAATATCAATCTGCTTCCATTTAGACTACTTCACTTTCATCCATTCCACCCGAAAGTGAAGAACTGGCCAATTAGAGGGTCATTCAGGTTATACTAAAGACATACCAATTTAGTCTAATGTTTCATTCTCCTTGCCCAAGTCACATTAGCAAGGTTGAACTTTAGTAAGACCAATAAGACTATCAGGAGATCAGTTGGAAATTTTCATCTCACGATCATATTCTTTTTGCTGTAAGTTCAAAGTTGTCCTGATGTTCCTGGCATAATGTGTTGTGTTTTAACAGGTCTCCTGCAAGCGCAAAATCTTCTAACGCAACTACCTCAGCAAAGCCAAGCCAACCTCCTACAGTCGCAGCCAAGCATCACCCTCACCTCCCAGGTCAGCCTTCTCCCATGGGTTTGCTTTTTCTTGTCCTGTTGTTTTAAGGGGCTTTTGGACTTCATTGAATTAAACACACACACACAAACACACACACACACACACACACCCTAATTTTAAAAATCCTAGTATTCAAAAACTGACCAAAAATTCAGAGCTGGACTTATCAGCTTGATAAAGCACCACTACCAAATTGATGTAGTCATTGAAAATCTTCAAGGAGTCCCTTTTTTTCATGTATGTTCATAAAGAATGGCAGTCTTAGCGGCAAGTGAGTAATAAGTTTTGGCTATTTGACCACCCTCCCTCAGCCCTGCAGTAGAGTTTGCCTTGAACTATAGAGGCCTGGTGCCTCAGTGAAGGCCCGAGCATCCTTGGAGCTGCATAGAGACCCTGAGTCTTGTGTCTTCTCTCCTCTCAACTTCCAGGTATTGCTTTAGTTCATTTCTACCAGAATGTAGCTCTAAAAACACACCAGTCTAGGCACTGACAGGTGGGTGTATTAGACCAGTTCAGCTGTGACTGAGCATGTCATTTGCGCATCTAAAATTAGGTAATGTTCTGAACTGCTGACCCCGGGGCCCATTCCACTTCTTACTCTGCCTGTAGTCATGGAAGTTTTCACACATTACCAGATTTGACAAAATTCAACATCTACTCTTGCAAATTAGGAATACAGGGTACCTTTCTCAACCTGTAAAAAGCATCCACCAAAAACTCAGCATCATAAAGATGACCCATTTCAACTACAGGAGTGAAACCCACAGACTTGGTGTGATCCTGGCCTGCGATCTCTCCACCTGGGCACCAGTCACAGGAAGGGTCAGCTGAGCGATGGAGATGCACTCATGGCAGCACCTGTCTGCCACTAATGATACTCAGAAGACGTCTCCTCGTGCTTGTGTTTTCATAATAAGGACATTTTATATTTCTTCCACAAAAAGAAAGATTATACTCTATGTGCCCAAGTAAACTTTAGATGGATTTCACTAATTAAATGTTTTAAAATACATAGAAGAAGGTAGAATATTTTAAAAAATGTATCCAAGTTATAAATAAATGAAAGTTTTTTTTTTCATATTTGAAGCAATAGATGATATTAGAAAAAAGTTTCCCTCTTTTTTTCCTTTTGATAATTTAAAACAGGTACGTTGAAAAATAAAAGGAAAAGCAGATAGGAAAAATTTGCATTAATGCAACATAAATCTGTAACATTTGATCAGTTCTTTAAGGATAAGAATGAGAAAATCATTAATACTTTATATAAATGGGTTGAGATGTAAAACTAATTCACATCAAAGGAGATACAGATAATAATTTACACATGGGAAAATTCTGACTGTGTGTAATAAGAGAAATACGAATTAGGGCAACTGTGAATTAGCAGAACACTTGAAAACTGCTGACAGATTTTGGGGAGAGATTGGATGGTGAGAACCGACATGCTGCTGTGGATCAGAAGCAACACCATTGTCTCTGGCCGCCCTTTATCTGGTTATAGAAAGTGCCTCATGAGTTTATCTCAGAGAACTAATTCCAGAGGTGGGAAAAGAACTACATGCAGAACCATTTGTTGTGGTGTCACTTGTGCTAGTGAAAACAGAAGTGTCCAGCAATGAAGAAATTGTTAAATAAATTATGATCGTATTGCTTCCATCAGCCTTTGAAAATGATAATTAGAAAGACTGAAAAACCATAGGAATAAAAAAAAACCAAAAACATAATTTCCCTGGCCACTGAGCGTGGTTGGAGCGCTATAGGCACTGGAGGGTTATGGGTTTGATTTCTGATTAAGGCCTCGTGCCTGGATTGTGGGTTTGATCCCTGGTCCCAGAAGGGACGCAACAGTGGCGGTGCGGGGGGCCACCAGTTGATGTGTCTCATTAATGTTTTACTCACCCCCTTCCACTCTCCAATGGAAAAAAACAGGATAATAAAAGAAATATAGATCTGTGGAAAATTCGAGGAAATACAAACAAATGAAGCTATTAAGTTATTTAAACTGTAGGTGGTTTGCTTTTCTTGCACTTTAATAATCTTATAGTAATATTTATAATATTGTGTCACAAGTTGGAGATAAACAAGATAGTGATAAACAAGATAGATTAGTCCCTGCTGTTTTGGAACTTATAGTTTAAGTGGTATGTTTATTGAGTAGAGTCTAAAAAATGAGGAGTAATCTATTAAAAGGCATAAAATACATGTATTCAGACCATTTGAAAACCTGAATATACTGAGTTTCATTTTTAGGTAGACGAGTTCTTCCCTTGTGCTTACATTTTAACCTGATCTGTGATTCTGGTGGGCATGATTTCACATTCTGCGTTTCTCCACGAACCCTACATATTACAGGGTCTTCATAATCCTCTCCCAATACAGCTGTTTCCTTAGGTTGTTTACTTGCTGCACAGTCCAGATGCAACCTAAACACCTTTTTGTATGTCTGTTCTTCTCCTTCTTTAACAGCCAGCAACCCCAACACGCACAATAGCTGCAACCCCAGTTCAGACACTTCCACAGAGCCAGGCAACACCGAAGCGAATCGACACTCCCAGCCTGGAGGAGCCCAGTGACCTTGAGGAGCTTGAGCAGTTTGCCAAGACCTTCAAACAAAGACGAATCAAACTTGGATTCACTCAGGTAGATGAGCCGGCCCTGAACTTGGATTTCCCTACTCAGCCTGCTTTATGTGCCCATTAGTTTTCCTGCATCTATAAGATTAGACTATTGTATATATTTGGTTATAAACTTATGATTTAATGCTAGGTCAAAAACCTTTAAGATTCTCTCAGAACATAGGCCTCTGAAATTATAATTATACCATAGTGCTGAGAAAGTAAAAGATTGTGTTAGGAGACGATATGAGGGTTCAGTTATTTGAAGAACATCTGGTTCTAGACCTTAATGCTATATATGTGAGGTAGAGTGTGTCAAGATTGCAAGTATCAGAGTGGCTGACAGGGAAATGTTTGAAAGGCTTGTTTGAAATAGTTTTTGTAGGGGGTGGAGACATGTGCTTGTATGCACACACACATGGGTGCAAAATGTACAAAATAAGCCCAAACTGAAACAAATTAAGAATCTGTCAAAGATGAAAAATTCAAATTAGTTTTTTTAATGCCAGGTAGCAGGACATTTCGAGTAGAACATATCCAGTGGTTTGGCAGGAGATTTGGCTATAGGCACTGCTTTAATTCCTCTTGTTCACCGCATAAGTGATACTGGAATGGAAGGAAACTGAATGGCATTTATGTAAAATGAGAGGCCCAGTGCATGGATTTATACACATTGAAAGGAAATTAATTAGAAGGTGGCTGGCAGGACAGGACTGGGCGAGACTGGCCGGACATGCCCTGGAGCCAACCTCCTGTGGTCTCTCCCCAGCCACCCCTACCTGGTATGGTGCCAGGGCTCAAAGGGCATTTGCCGAGTGAGTAGGGTCCCTCTGGGAAGTGGGGCCCAACAAACATCTCCTGAGGAGTCCTGGAGTGCAAGTGGGCCCTCTACAAAGTTGCTGTTGCTCAGCAACTCCTGTGTTGAGTGTTTGCCCCCTGGTGGCAGTGTGCATCATAGCTACCAGTCAGAGCACCTGCCCCCTGATGGTTATTTCGTGTCATAGCTACTGGTTGAATAGTAAGATGGTCGCTTTTATAACCTCCTATACAATAAAAGCCTAATATGCTAAGTGTCTGGTTGTCTATTCAACCAAAGCATAATATGCTAATGATACGCTAAAACTACTTAATCACTCACTATGACGTGCACTAACCACCAGGTGACAGACGCTCTGACCTGTAGGTTAGCTTGCTGCTAGGGTCCAGCCAATTGGGACTGAACGAGATGGGCTGGACATGCCCTGGAGCCCTCCCATGGTCCTTCCCTGGCTGGCCCACCTCCCACATCTCTTCCTGGTTGAGCCCAGGTGGGGTCCTTCAGCCTGACCTGCATCTTCTCACAATCCAGGACCCCTTGGGGGATGTTGGAGAGCCAATTTCAACCCGATCCCACATGCCAGGCTGAGGAACCCCACTGGTGTACAAATTTGTGCACCGGGCTTCTAGTCCTATATAATAAAAGCCTAATATGCTAAGTGTCCAGTCGTCGGTTGGCTATTTAACCAATCAAAGTGTAACATGCTAATGATATACTAAGGTCGCTCAACTACTTCCTATGATGTGCACCGACCACCAGGGAACAGACAGTCGACCAGTCACTATGATGTGCACTGACCACCAGGGGGCAGATGCTCCAACCAGTAGGTTAGCTTGCTGCTGGGTTCTGGCCAATTAGGACTGAGGGATATGGGCTGGACATGCCCTGGAGCCCTCCTGCATCCCTCCCTGGTCCCGATCATGCACTGGTGGGGTCCTTCTGCCTGGCCTGCACTGAGGGACCCTCTCCCTGTCCCCCCCCCTCCCATTGCACGCATTTTGTGCACTGGTTCTCTAAGCCTACCTAATAAAAGAGTAATATGCAAATTGACCTATCTTTGCTACACCCACAAGCCACGCCCACAAGCCAATCAGGAGTGAGTATGCAAATTAACTCACCCAAGATGGCTGTGGCCACAGCGTGAGTAGGAGGCTTGGGTTTCCCCAGCAATGGAAGAAGCCAAGCTTTCCACACACCCTGGCAGGCCCTGGACTCCACTCAAGGTTACAAAGTTTCAATTATAAAAGATAAATAAATCTCAGATACCAGGGCCTCCACTTGGGTCGCCAGGGGACATGGCTGGCCTGCAAATCACCACAGGCCCCACACCCTAAGGGAACCCCACCCTGATTCGAGACACCCTTCAAGGCAAACCAGCTGGCCCCCACTCATGCAACAGGCCTCTATCCTATCTAATAAAAGAGTAATATGCAACTTGACTATCACTCCCAACGCACAAGCTGGTGCCCCATGTGGTCAAATATGACTGCCCCTATGTGGACATTTTATGGCCGCCACAAGATGGCCAGCGGGGAGGGCAGTTGGGAGGGACCAGGATTGCAAGGGAGGGCAATTGGGGGCGATCAAGCCTTCAGGGGAGGGCAGTTAGGGGTGACCAGGCTGGCAGGGGAGGGCAGTTAGGGGCAAACAGGCTGGCAGGGCAGCAGTTAGGCATCAATCAGGCTGACAGGGGAGTGGTTAGGGGCAATCAGGAAGGTAGGCAGGTGAGAAGCTGGAAGCCAGCAGTCCTGGATTGTGAGAGGGATGTCCTGCGGCCCCAAATTGGAGAGAGGGTGCAGGTTGGGCTGAGGGACACCCTCCCCCACCCTCATGCACAAATTTTGTGCACACCAATAAAAGAAAAACATGCAAGTTGTCCCTACGGGCGGGGTTTTCACCGGAAGTTACACTTGTGCTGACGACCAGGGGACGGCACAGAACGTGGGATTCTATGACAAGGCAGGTAGCAGGGGGAAGGGAGTCCCTGGCCAGCAGTGGTGGTGTCAGGCAGCCCAGGGAAGGAAGGTCCTGGCTGGTTGCCGGCAGCTGCTAGGGACCCTACACATGCACTGGGCGTATAGTATATAGATAACAGAAGATCATTAGATGAAAAAAAGTACTGAAGTATAGAATGGATTGGGTGTTTTTATGGAATCAGAAGAAACCTGATGTTTTCTTTCCAGAGAATAGAATTACTATTTGAAATCTGAGCCACCATTACATACTGTCTCATTTCCTTTGTGTGGGAAGAATAGTAATGTACCACTTGCTCAGGCTGGCCTGACACCAGGGTGATGACCCTGCATGTGTCCTGGTGTTTTTATGAACAGACTTATATTCCTAACTTCTTTGGTAGTTCATTTTTGCTCAAAGAAACTAATATATTAGGAACATAAAATGATTTTTTCAATAGCTATAATGTTAGAGATAATGCAGTTATGTATTTGTGAGGAGTTTCAATTGTGCAGGAACAAATTACAATTAAGAAAGATTGAAACTTGAGTGATCTGGCTTATTCCTAAAAAGAAAGCGAAAGATAACGGAGTACATTACTGCATTTAAATATATGAGTCAGTTTGGACTAGTTCTCAGTGCTTCAGCTTTAAGCTATTAGCACAGCATACTTTGAGGTTCCCTAGGAAACTGTTGCCTAAGCAATATGCCAAGGATGTTAAGGCTTTTTGAAACCTTTAACTTTTACCCAGATAGTGGTTTCCTTTCTGTGGCACTTGACCCAACATATTGCCAGTGTTGTGTGAGTGTGCACCTCTCTCTCTCATATATCAATGAGCTTCCCTGTGATCTGGTGGTGTGCTGATGGTTTTATCCTATTATTTGGCACAATTGTGCCTTATTTTTCAAAATGACTCTGATATTGCAGTGCCTATATTTCACAGACCTTAACTATTTGGACTAAAGCACATGTCACTGGTGCAGGATGGGAAAATCAAGCCTTTGTGTTTAAGACATGTACCTCAGTTGTAGTTATTCAAAGGTTGCTTTATCTCCAGCTTATTATACACACACAGCATTCAAGTGATTAGTTAAGACAAAAATCCCTCTTTGAGAAATCTCCATGTTGTTAGCTGTTTCTGACTACATCATTGGTTATGAAAGTGTTACTGTAGATGTCATTTCATAATTAGGAGGCCATGGTGTGATACTTTTCTCTCACGTGACACATTCATTATTTCCTAATCCCAATCTTTGCTCCTTTTCCCTTTTGCTTCTTAAAAAATATCAAAGGGATATAATGTAGATTTTGTACGAGTCAGTTACTTCAAACATTTATTTCTGTGAGGGATAGCCCCAATGGTTTTAAGTTATAAAAGCACCAAGCCACACTTACCTCAAATTAATGAACATTAGCCTATTAACTAAGTGAGGACCTATTGCTTTTCATTCAATTAAATAGTTTAAATGTGAAGTAAGACTGTATTATACATTTCAAATAAGTCAATTTGTAATTTATTGCCATAGTTTTACTTAGTTAATGGCATAGCCACCAATGTAAGATATTTATTCTTATGATGTGATTTTTTGAATAGGTATTTCGTTTACTCGTCAATATTGTTACTTTTTATAGATATTATAGAAGTTTGTGAAAAAACTTCTAGTGAGCGATGAGTTACAATGTCAGAAACAGTTATTTCCATCTTATCTGCTACAGCAGGTCCCACATGCAAAGAATTGCAAAGTTGGGTTGGCCCAACTCTCTAGCAGGCTGTAATCTAAACAAGTAAAGTGACCAAGACACACAGCTAGTTTAGTATTTGATATCTAGTAGGCACTTAGTGAATGTTTGTGATTGACTAAATGTACAGAGATATTGATTCAGATAGACACCTGTCCACAGATAGACTTAGCATTTATGCCACTTGCACTGTCCCAGGTCTTTGTTTGCTGTAACTGAACAGAAATCAATAAGCAGTCACTTCTGACCTGGAAACAGATGTCCGGAGCAGTCAGTGGCACTGTAGCATAGGATAGCCACTATGCCCCTGTGGCTGTTGCTGGGCAGCAGGGTGGCGTGGGGCCTAGGAACTGGAGGGTTAATTGGCTGGTTTTGAATAATTTCCATTTAAATAGTCCCTGGGGGCTGGAGGCTCTCCTGGGGAAGGCCAGGGTGAAGGCCCAGGGAGGGCCCGGTGCTCTCAATGCCTCTCGCCATCTCCCATCCCAGCTTTCTTCTCTATCACACACTGTATCACAAGCTGCTTACCAGTGAGAAAATGGAGTTAAAAATCCTTCCCTCTCCCTGACTCACCTAGCACAGGTGTGAATAAACAGTGTAGTGTCCAAGGATGGCATGTAGAGGAATCACAGGACGGACTAATCTCAAAACACATTAACTGCTGGCAGTGACTGGGCCTGAGCTGTCCCTTGTGTTCCACGATGGAATGAGCTCTGCAGCACTTCCTGGAAGTGTTCTGCCCTGTCACTAACGGAAGGAACGAGAAGGTGAATCGTTAAACTCCAGGAGCCTCTGTTACCTGAATACAAACTGTGAAGATGTGGCTTTTTCCAGCTTTAAAGGCGACTCATTTGGCTGGAAGGAAAGCACGGCGTACATTCTGGGCTTATAAGCTTAGAGAAAGACATCTGTGTAATAGATTCAGGGGTCATCGTTCCATTTGCTGTAAGAGGACCGTCTCAGTGTCCATGAAGGTGTAACTAAGTGGGTCATACCTCTCCACTGTGAATTTCTTTCTCTCCAACAGTTATAAAAGTATTCTTTTAGAATACCTGTTTTTTTATAACCAACTTTGAAATCCAAACTAAGGGTGGGAAATAGATTTTTTTCAATGCTTCCAGAAATAATTTATAGGGATAAAAGAAGTAAGGGATCATTTCTAAATTTTAAAGTCATTTATGGAAACATTGGTTAGTTCATAAATACCTGAGGTTATCCAGGCAGTTACTTGTGTTAACTCTGTAGGATTACTTAGTCACTTTGTTACATGAATTAAGGGGCTGTTTTAGAATATTAACTCCATCTTTTGGGACTTAGTAGAAATATTTATAATCTTAACTATTACATAAGGTGGCAAGAAGAGATTCAAAATGGAGAGAATATGGGACAGTTTTGATTGTTGTTAGATTGGGGCCTAACTCCTCCCTGGAGCACTGAGCCCAGCTCAGGGATGGGTGTTTCTGTGGGATCCTACAAAGGGGCTCATTGTTGAGCCTTCGTCTACGAGGGCCTGTGGAGGGAAGGCCGTCACCGTTGGTGAGATGACTCTCTTCTCGCTCGTCCTCCCACTCCTGTCTGTATTTCTGTGCAGGGCGATGTTGGGCTTGCAATGGGTAAACTGTATGGAAATGACTTCAGCCAAACTACCATCTCTCGCTTTGAAGCCTTGAACCTCAGCTTTAAGAACATGTGCAAGTTAAAGCCACTTTTGGAGAAGTGGCTCAATGATGCAGGTGGGTGAGAAATGGCCTCATTGTCTGTGGGAATCCTACAGGGGCTGTCATGTAGAGTGGGGTTTAGATTTCATATTGCACTATTGGCACTACAGAGCCTCAAAGCACGCCAATCTTGGGAGGATTAATATAAGTTGTGGTTCCATAAATCAGAGATTCATTTAAGTAGTAATTGCAATGCACACAATGAAAAACATTTTTTTTTTTTTAGTTTTAGAGCATTTCTAAAGGATTGAAGGAAGAGGAAAAAAGCCTATGTATTTACATAAACTTGAAAAAACAAGCTTATTGGTTCTTTGTTGATGAATTATAGTAAATTTGTTCTTGATGATATTTGTTCTTTCTGCTTTTGTTACTAAAAACAACCACATTCATGAGAAGTTGAGTGGCCAGTGTTAACTTGTGTGTTTTGTACTGAGGTTTTCTTTTGAGAAATTTGAAGTTTGAATCACAGAACCACAGACTGTGGGCTGTGAGGAAAGTGCAGATTGCCTAGACAGCAGTTCCTGTTTAGATGGGAGGAAAACCAGGTCTTTGGAAAACACCCTGTACCTGTGGCCATGTACTCATGGTCCTGTATCCTTTCTGAGCTCCACAGGTGAGAACCGCCAGCCACTCTACCCTTCCCTCCGTGTGCATGGAGTGGAAAGAATCAGAGCTGGTTCCGAGTTGCCCAGGGTCATTCAGCTATTGACAGAACCTTGCTTTTTTCAACTACCAAGAATTTAGAAGTATTTCATTGTTGTTTGGTTTGGGGGGAGGTGTTGCCCTAGATTATACTAATGAAATGAGAAGTCATTTGCGAGATAAATCTTAAATGTTCAATAATTCCCAACAAATTTTCTTTTATCCCTAGAGCTAATCTCTATATATAAAAGCCTAATATGCAAATTGTCCCCTCTGGAGTTCAACAGGGAGACCAGGAGTTTGATCGCTCTCTCTGACATGCACTGACCACCAGGGAGCGGTGTGGAACAAAAGAAAGCCCTGGCTGGTGGCTGCCTAGGGAAGGCAGGCCCTGGCCAGCTCTGATTGCCTAGGAACCTACCCATGCAACCTACCCATGCACACATTTCATGCACTGGGCCACTAATAAATAAATAAGCAAGCAAACCCAAAAGTAAGGACAGAACTCAGAAGAGGTAGAGCTGAGTTTCAGGGCAGAAAGAGCAACCCTGTGCTTTCTCAGAGACAAGTCAGAGGGCAGTAGGGACAGACAGCCAGTGTTCTCAGACCACAGCTAGAGCAGCGAGGAGTGCTGTATGTCCATGTCGGTATGGAAACCTTTTCCTACGCTTGTAGTATAAACTGTCTTGGTTGCTTTATGTTGTTAATACGTGTGCTATTCCTTCGACCTCCTGTTTTCTCCTTTCTCACAGAGAACCTCTCATCGGATTCAGCTCTCTCCAGCCCAAGTGCCCTGAATTCTCCAGGGCAGGGAATAGAGGGCTTGAACCGTAGGAGGAAGAAACGCACCAGCATAGAGACCAACATCCGTGTGGCCTTAGAGAAGAGTTTCCTGGAGGTCAGTGGGGATTTTACTTTTCGTAGGCGTGGGATTGTTGCTATGGTGCTCCCATTAGGTCTGTCAGCCACAGCCCTTATGGATGCTTATCCCATCGTGGAGAAAATAAGACAACCTAGCAGCGTGCATGCCTGGGTTCAGGGAGAATAGACTCACATCCATGGAGTCCTTTGTGTGATAAGCAGCAGCTGCCATCAGGCACAGGGACTCCAGACAGGGAGGGGCAGGGAAGAGAGAGCAAAGGCATCCAGATGAACCGAGGGGTCATTGCAGAAATGGTGGTTCAGTTTGGCTGAGTTCTAGTGTCTGCTAGACTAGCAGTTTGGGACCAGGACACAGAGGGCCTTGAATGTCAGCCTATCAAGTTCAAGTTAATTCAACAGATACATGGCTTTGGGTGGGTTTTGTTTTTTTGTTTTTTACACCAGGAAATATCTCAATCAAAGCTTCCAACAAAATTCTGACTCTGGTTCAGAGAAGCTTGAGCACTGAGTAAGGAGTCTAGTGTCTGCCACTTAAGTCACTGAGTCCCTTTATCTGGGAAGCACTTTCTGTCTTGCTACACAAGCTTACAACAGCAACAAAAGTAAACATTCAAGAATAACTTACTCTAAGTTACCGGGAATAAATTTAATAGACTTGTGTTCATTGGAATGCTCGTCTGCAGACATTTTGTTAAGGTGGGCCTGGTGGTCACTTACATCCCAACTTCACTCCCCGGCCTGCCCACCCTGTTTGCTGGTTTGCATAATGGCTCAGCTGGGCCAGTAGTTCTAAAGGTTATTCACAAGATGACTTCCCCCTTCAGAATCAAAAGCCTACCTCGGAAGAGATCACCATGATTGCTGAACAGCTCAACATGGAGAAGGAGGTGATTCGAGTTTGGTTTTGTAACCGCCGGCAAAAGGAAAAGAGGATCAACCCACCGAGCAGTGGTGGGACCAGCAGCTCCCCTATCAAAGCAATTTTCCCCAGCCCAACCTCCCTGGTAAGGACGGAACCGGGAGCACTCAGGCTCACTTTACAGTTTACAAGTGGCTCGCTCAGTCATTATATTTTATAATAGAATTTACTGTGAGAGTGGGGTAGGGGAAGGCTGGGGGAGGTGTGTGTGTGGGAGATGGGGGGAGAAGCAGGGGGCTGTGAGAGGCAGTCAGGGGAGCAGTTGGCAGATACAGCTTTGTCCTGTGCAGTTGTTTACTTGTGTTTGGATTTATTTGAACTAGAAAGAAGACAGTATATATAATAATTTTTTTAATTTGTTTAATATTCTTTTTATAACATCATTTCATTAAAAACAAATTCAAGACAATCTTGCCCCCACAGAGTCAAAAATAAAACAAGAAACCTCAATTCACGGATCCTCCAAAATAGTTTCCTTATTTAGGTTAAGGGGACAATTAGCCTAATACTTCCTACTGACTTAGCTTATGCCTGACTCAGCGTTACTGAGATCGAGAGGTTTTAAATGATTTCTGTGTGAAACCTGGGCAAACCCATGCGTCATGCCAGTGCGGAGCCTCCTTTGGCGGCAGCCTTGCAGCAGGCGCCCCTTTCTCAGTTCCAGGCTCCAGGAAGAATGGAAATCTTCCTCTCAGGCCCGTTTACTTTATTCTGTTTTCATTCTATAATATTTAAATCTATCCTGGGCCGGGACCGGTTTGGCTCAATGGATAGAGCGTCGGCTTGGGGACTGAAGGGTCCCGGGTTCGATTCCGGTCAAGGGCATGTACCTTGGTTGCGGGCACATCCCCAGTAGGGGGTGTGCAAGAGGCAGCTGATCGATAACTCTCTCTCATCGATGTTTCTAACTCTGTATCTCTCTCCCTTCCTCTCTGTAAAAAAAATCAATCAAATATATTAAAATCTATCCTGGAATCTAAGTTTCTTATAGGCAAAATAAGTCTATAAATGGAATTTTAAAGTTTTTTTTTTTTTTAATGCTTTTGAATATTTTCATTTCTGACCTCTAGGTGGCGACCACGCCAAGCCTTGTGACCAGCAGTGCAGCAACTACCCTCACAGTCAACCCAGTCCTCCCTCTAACCAGCGCTGCAGTAACCAACCTCTCTGTTACAGGTAACCACTCTCTGTTACAGGTAACCACCTCTCTAGTACAGGTAACCACTTCTCTGGTACAGGTCCCCACCTCTCAGTACAGATAACCACGTCTCTGGTACAGGTAACCACCTCTCTCGTACAGGTAACCACCTCTCTCGTACAGGTAACCACCTCTCTGGTATAGGTATGCGGCAGCCAGGCTGTGCAGTGGTGAGGCAGCTGGTAGCCATGAGAGGTTCCTGTGAGAATTTGCCATTAAGCTGTGAATTACAGCTCTAGGATGTATTGTTTTTTTTAAAGTTGCATGTGAAAACCTGAACTCCAAGAAAAATCAGGCACAATTAATTTTGTCAGGAATAATGCTTTCACACAAAGATTTCATCTTTTTTGTTCTTTTTCACCTTACTCTGTCTTCTCTATTACTCCCAGAATTATCTCTCAAAACACACACTTTTTCAAGTAGCCCCTCAAAAACCCTGACTAGCTATAACTTTTTGCATCAAGACAACATCAGATCAGATGCCCCTTCACTGTGTAGAAGGCGCTTTCCAGTGCGGCCCTGTCTCCAATGGTCGCCACCCACCGTCCCCAGCCCAGAGGTGGGGGCCTATGAGCGGGCGTAGCCTCTGGGCCGGTGTGGGGGAGCTGCTTCAGGTTAGGTGCCCATTCCGCCTGGAAATGGTGTGAGCTCCCCAGCAGAGCTTCCTTTCCCCTGCCTGCGTCACAAATGACTATAGTTTTATAATTTATTCTCCCTTTGCCAAGAGACTTTGCACTTCTCAAAAGGCCTGGGGTTCTTTTTTTTTTAATCTCTGCCTTGTTTAGTGCTTGACACATCCACTCTAAAATGAATGACTAAATTTTTCCCTGTGCCACCTTTGAATAGTAGATTTCTCAAATACACTTGAAATGAACTCAGTGTTGTCACCAGCAGTTCTTAGTGGCACGGTGTAGGAGGCATTCTGCGACTGTTTGCCGGGGTGGTGATGGTGTGAAGCCCTGGGCGGGCGTGTTCTGATGGCTCACAGTGCAGCGTGGACTCAGCCTCCAGGAGGGGAAATTGATTTTTCTGCGCTAATATTTTACTTCATCGCACCTCTTTGGCTCTATGAGCTAACGATGGCATGTAAAGTGAATACATGTTTTTATTCACATTTATTAAATTAAGGATGAACTTTGCCTTTTCCCTCTTTATCTGTCTGTAATCAGTATGAATTCAGACATTCTTTTATATCCAACAGGTTAGAATTGTATCACTATTTCAGGGTTAAATTCTTCCCGATTGGCTAGTGAAAGTCCCTTCAGCTGGCTCCTGTGCCCATTAACATGCCTCTGTCCTTTACATGGTTCCTTATTTTTTGGCACAAGATGTTCAGGCTCATCTTCATGTTTCTGTGCCCAGGCCTGGATGCAGCCATTTCTCCAAGAATTCTGAGTTCCTGTTAGTGAGGAAAGGACTTTGGAACCAAAGTAGAGGCATTAGATACACTCACTGATGTGCATTGTTGCTTCTAGGACATCTCAATTGAAATAAATGTGCACACAACACGGGAATATGTGTAAGATACACACGTGTGTACCTTCATGTGTTCATCCACCCACCTACACCATCCATTTTCACTAGCTGTTCACGTGTATTAAAGCCATGCATCCATACTGAGTCTCCAATTTCAGCCCAATACTCTCTAGTTCGTTATTTTCTATGCTTAGGTTCTAAAGAGTTTGTTTTTGTGGCTCATGTCTCTAGAGGCACTAACGAGGTTAGTAAAAGTACCATTTTGAGGTGCTGGTTGGTAGAGTCATTAGTTAGTTCCTGGATTTGGCTGAACAGAGCCCCGCCTCCAGACTCCCACAGCTCCTTCCTAACACAGCCCTCTTTCCAGGCACTACAGACACCACCGCCAACAACACTGCGACCGTGATTTCCACCGCGCCTCCCGCCTCCTCGGCAGTCACGTCCCCCTCGCTGAGCCCCTCCCCGACTGCCTCAGCCTCCACCTCTGAGGCCTCGAGTGCTAGTGAGACCAGCACAACACAGACCACCTCCACTCCTCTGCCCTCTCCTCTCGGGACCAGCCAGGTGATGGTGACGGCATCAGGGCTGCAAACAGCGGCCGCAGCTGCCCTCCAAGGAGCTGCGCAGTTGCCGGCGAACGCCAGTCTCGCTGCGATGGCTGCCGCTGCAGGACTGAGCCCCGGCCTGATGGCGCCGTCTCAGTTCGCAGCTGGGTAAGGTCTTTCTCGTCTGTTCCCACCTGAGAGAGTCCACAAGGAGGTCATCCCGGGGCTCACGCTGTGGGAGACTTTCCATCTTCATCTTCAACTCAAAATTCAAAATTTAACTCTTTAAGCCTTAATGTCTTTGAAATGGGTTGCTCTATAGCGGCTCAAGGACCTGATTATTGCGGACTTAGTGTCTGGACACCCTGGAAGGGCAGCAGTCAGGCCTTCTTTTCCAGGGGAGCCACAAGCAGCTGGCGCTGGCCACACCTCAGGGTTGGACCATGGGGAGCCCACAGCTCCCGACTCTCGTTCTTGCTTGTTCCCTGCTGGCCGCTTCCTGCCTCTCAGTCATGCGTGGGGGCTGCAGCAGTAAGAATTGTTCTACAGGCCGTCCTCGGGTTACGTCGCACTTGACATACGTCATTTCGTGGTTACATTGCCATCTCCCACTTATTTATTAAAAGAAAGTTCCATCATTTTGACGTATGTACATATGTGCTTTACGTTTTTTATTATTACCACAAGTAATGGTCATGAATTGTTATCTTTCTTTTAAATTTTATATATTTATTTCTCTGGCATTTTGTTTTGAGAAAAGAGAAGGATACACGCAAAGAAAGTTTCAATGATTCCAAGTTGGAGACTGTACAGTCATAGTCTTGTTTGGATTGCACAGCGAGCTTCAGGGAAAGCAGCAACTCAGAGGCTGTTGACTGTAGAGAGGACAAGAATTGGAGCTGCTTCCATCGCCTCCCCAGCTGGTGAGGGGATGTCATGCTGACCGCAGTGTCTGCTCTTTTCACTTGCAGAGGTGCCTTACTCAGTCTCAACCCAGGGACCCTGGGCAGTGCTCTCAGCCCAGCTCTGATGAGCAACAGCACACTGGCAACCATTCAAGGTCGGTACAGCTGCTTTCCTTACTTACATCTTTTTTTTTTGATGGAGGAAGTCTACTTTGCCAGAAGTCAGGGTGATGGGGAGACAGGTGAATTGATAATGTTGACTATCTAAAGGACCAAAAAAATGTCTTGTAAAAGAGCTTTGTGGAGAAGTATAGGTGTGGTTTGGGTGTTAAAATAGGAAATCTAGTTTGGTGTATGAAATCAGAATTTTTATGCTGATACTGACCTTTTTATGTGTATAGACTTGGGGACAGACTTTATCCCTGACAAGTTTGTTGACTAAGTCATCCAAGACCTACCCCAGGTACCCTGACCAAGTGAAAACCCCGTCCTCATCTTCACCCCAAGAGAGCACGGCTGAGCAGTCCCATTGGAGCACACCGGGGACCCTGGGGCTCCCTTTATTGTCCCCATCCTTGTCTTTCCCACGGCCAGTGGGTCCCTTTGACCTTCGCGTGCTACCCAGTCTCAAGTGTGTCTGAATCCCAAAGGGATTACCGGAGGGTTTGCCTTATGTGGCTTCGGCTTGTCTGAAGATGCTTGAGAGACATCCCTGTATGATCAAAGAATGTTTTTTCTTACAATTAAAAATAGTTTGTGCTTAAGTGAGTTCTTGGGGCCAAAAATGAGTGGTTAGCCACTTGAGTAAAGGTGCTGTCAGGCGGGTGATTTTCCTCCAGTGTACATACCACCGAAAGCACTGGTCCCCGGCTTGGGCTGGACTGCCTGGCCTCCCACTGGCCTTCGCGCTGTGCAAAATCGGTGGTTAGCTCTGTGAAGCTTTTGTCAGCCACGGACTCCTTTTTGGGATAAGACTGAGAAGCCTCGTTCTCGGCAGCAGGTCTTTGGCTGGTAGTGATGCCCCAGAGGCGAAGTGCTTCTCCGGACACCGCAGGCGGGAACGGACCTCTCTGGGGAGATCTAGAACAGGTCCACGGCTCTACGCGTGGAACCTCAGAAAACTTCAAGCCACACCAGTGCCCCCGGTGCTCATTGTGTGATGGTGTCCAAGTCAGTGACGACGCCTCAGTCCCTCCAGCTCTCTTTACATGTTACATGAGAAATCCACCGAAGTCTGAAAGCCTAGAGAACCTTCCTGTGGATTATGGGTCAAGGAGATACTGGGGGGTTGTCAGATGACGAAATTTGATAGGTGAGATTGCCCACTTATTTTTTAAAATTGATTTCAGAGAGGGAGGGAGAGATAGAAACATCAGTGCTGAGAGAGAATCACTGATCAACTGGAAAGAGCACATTAAACAGTCTGTGAAACCACTATTTTTCAGTTAAAAGTAGCCTAGAACTGTAAATGTGTGTCCTGCACACCCCTCTCTGGGGACCAGCCGATGCACACTTTTTTTTAAAGAAAATCTTGCTGATGCCTTCATCACAGAAAGTTCTCAGGTGCTAGAGCGAGTCCGATCCACGATGGTCACATGGCCATCCCACATCTCTGCTCCCTCCTGGAACGCCCACCATGCTCTGCACAAGTTAGGAGGGGCATACTTGGTCACACCTTGCACTTTACTTGGTAACCTAATTTATTTTAGAACAAAAGCCTTTTAAAGATAGCTTTTCATCTTGTGTATCAGACTTTTCATAGCCAGTGGATTGGTAAGAGCTGCCTCTATTTCAGTGCTGTGACCGCGGGAACAGGTTTGTCATTTGGAGGGAGCAGTTTGATATTGGCGATCTGCATTAGAAACAGTCGCTGGATTTACCTAACGCTGTCCGCGGGCACTGGAGTCAGGTGGAGCTCTGGTGCAGATGCGGCTTCGGTGGGTCAGACAGGCCTTACCCCCCTCCGCCTGCTCATGCTCACTAGATCATTCAGTCATTAGGTCAGTGGTCGCCAACCTGTGGATCTGAAAGGTTGGTGACTACTGCTTTAGATCCTTTAAAATCATCATAAAACTTCAGGTGGGACAAGATGGTTCTCTGATTAAGAAAAACAGTCAGCGAAGGGCCGGGCTTTGTAGCTGGTTGTGGGAGATTGGAGTCATTTGGTGGTCCTTGGCTTCTCCAGGATGGTATTAACTGTCTCCTTCCCACCTGTTTTGGGGGTTTGTCCATAGCTCTTGCTTCTAGTGGCTCTCTTCCAATAACATCACTGGATGCAACTGGGAACCTGGTGTTTGCCAATGCGGGAGGAGCCCCCAACATCGTGACCGCCCCTCTGTTCCTGAACCCCCAGAACCTCTCTCTGCTCACCAGCAACCCGGTTAGCCTGGTCTCTGCCGCCGCAGCCTCCGCGGGGAACTCTGGGCCTGTCGCCAGCCTTCACGCCACCTCCACCTCCGCTGAGTCCATCCAGAACGCGCTCTTCACAGTGGCCTCCGCCAGTGGGGCTGCTTCCACCACCACCACCGCCTCCAAGGCGCAGTGAGTGCCGCTGCCTCTTCCAGCGCAGTGCCAGCGGGCAGCCCGCGGGCGACCGCAGGGGCCCTGGCTTCCTCTTGCCACGGTGTGAGGCAGAGGAGAAGAGAGCAGGAAAGACACATGCCGGAGAGAAAGGATGGAGACCGGACATCATTTGCCTAATTTTATAATAAAACACTCTCTTTTCAGGATTGCTTCATGGATTGGACAACTTTCTAACCAAAATTAAAAAACAAAACAAAACAAAACAAAAAAAAACAGAAACAAAATATCAAAAACAAACAAAAAATAAGTGAAAGGACTACTTATCATTTCCAGCGGTCACGGTGGCAGTCAAGGTGGGTTACCAATTCTAATATGGGTAGGAAGGGGATTTCTTGTTTGTCTAAAGTCCTTTTTTTCTTAAAAAAAAATCATTTTTATGGGTCTGTTGTACAGGCCACTAAGTCATAACAAGGTGTTTATAATCGTATCAATTGTGTTGGGGGTTCCTTTCTTAACTGGTACAATTTAGGCAGGCCCGCGTTACTGTATCTGTTATTGTTGTTGTCATGTTTTATATATATTTGGTTTGGTGTCTCGCTCCTGGATCCTGCTTCAGTGAGCTCCCACTGTGGGGAGGGGTCGGGAACTCCCGTCCTTCGCTGCGAATGTCCTTGCTGGTTTCCTTACCCTTGACACTCACAGAGGTCCTAGGAAATGGTTTTCTGTTGCCACTTATGCAAGAGGCTCGGTGCAGAAGCTGAGGGCAGCGTGCGCAGACGCTCCCACTCCACACGCCCCATCAGGTGGTGCCTTTGGAGCACTTTGTGTAGGAAGGAATTCCTGCTGGACTGTAGCTCTCACTCCGACCTTGAATGACCCGAGGCCGGGTCCCGGGGTGCGCCAGCACCGCTCCTTGCCTCCCACGGGGCCGTGCGTGTTGCAGGCGGGACTTGGCTCCGAGAGCAAAGACTACTGCAGACACCTGCCTGGGTGGTTCTCGTGACTCTGATCTCCTGAAAATGCTCCTATTGTTGCTGTGTGTGTGTGTATGTCTGTTCCATTGTGCGGAAGATTTTCATCCCAACTTCCTTCAATTTAGCAAAGAACAAATTTACCTGTTGGGAGTGGGATGTTTCCCTCCTGTTCTCTAAAGGAGCCCTGCTAGACTGCTCCCGTGGGTGACTGAACTCCAGCAGGGGGACGAGAAGCGTCTGAGGTTACACCTTCTCTAGCCAAGGCTTCCTTTCCCCCAGGTGGCTCTCACCCACCACCCCGAGACTGGCCTTGTCCCCGGTGGGGAAGGCACGCACCAGCTTCGTGGGTCTGAGAGCTTGAGGCCTGAGCAGGACCTGCATGCACCTCATCAGGTGCCTCCGGGCTGGTTAGTGATGCTCCTGGGAGGCAGGTCAGTGGCGGTGGTAGCTGTACTTGGGGAGGGAGGAGCTTCCAGCATGTGTGCAGTGTTTCTGGACTGTGTAAATGAGCCCGAGAAGTAGTGAGGAACGAGGTGACTGGGAAATGGGATCCCCTTTTCGTTATGGTAGTATCTATACCGAACCCCTGGACTGATCCCTGCAAGTGCGCTCCTGCTCCCGCCGCCCGCCTGACTGAGGGCGAGGGCCGCCGCTGGCTGTCCCAGGTGCCTGCTGGCCTCGCTTCCCAGCTGCACTTCCCCTCCGAGCTTCGTCTTCGTGCTCAGCTTGTGTGGAGGGAGCGTGGTTCTGTGGCTCACGTCTCCGCGGCTTCGGGAAAGGTCGTGCTTTTCTGTTTGTGACCGTCCGGTGGGAGACAGGCACATTAATGTTAAAAGGCCAGAAACATTTCGTCCCCTCGTTGATTTTTCTTTTGTTCCATCTGTCTTCCTGTTTTATTTCACAAAGTATTTAATTCCCACCCTTGGTGTTCTCTCCTCACCCTTCCCCTTCCCCAAAATCCCTCCAAAATCAGTGAACTGCAAGCAGGGAAACTAACAAAATGTCCACCCACCTTTTTTATGTGTGGTGTGTGTTTTTATGTTGTTGTTTTTTTAACTAAGCTTGAACCAAAGTCAATTTTTAGCAAGCTGCTGTACTAAAGGACTAGTTTTATCGTGCGGTTCAGACACATTGAGGAGTTAGATGCTACTGACAATTTCTTTTTCATTGTCTTTAATAATTTTATATAAAAGTTGCTGCTTCTTTTAATCTTTTATGTTGGTAAATTGTACTATCCTCTGGGCAGACATGAACTTGATTTTTAACTAGTTTATTTAGTTTGGTATGTAAATAGAATGGCAGTGTCGGTGACTAACTTTTCTCTCTCTGCCCCTTAAGTTCTCTGATGTAGTTAAATTTAGTCTTTTATTCTGACTTGATATCTCTAACTTTAGTCTGTGCTAATGATTGTAGGACTATCAATAATACTGCAGCTGCCATGGGGATGGGTAGCGCCCTGGGGAGTGGCTGGTGCCAGGCAAGATTCAGGGAGGGGAGTGCTGATACCCACCTTGCTGGACTAGAGGCTATAGCATTAATATCCCAAAATGACTACCAAAGCAAGCGTCAAGTCCCAAGGAACTCCAGCCCAGTGGCTAACAGCAAGGGCCAGGTCAGACTGAGTTTGCTTGTTTCCTATGTGGCTCCAGAGATGCTCCCTCCCCCGGGTAAGACTCGCCAATAGATTTTAATGTGTAAAAGGATACTAAACGTTCAAGCCAGTGTGATGGTCTTCATTCTCAGCCCTGTGTGTATCCTCTGGTCAGTTTAGGATAAGGGAATTTTGCCTGGGAATCACTTTATGATATTAAACCAGCATAAAAACCTGTATTTAAAAGAAATAAATCTTTAGACAAGTAAAAACAACTTGCGAAATGAAAGGTACATTTACATATGTACGAGAAACACTAAAACAGCTTGTTGCTGGTTGGGTAGCTTAACTAGACCCCATGCCCCATCCCTAGGAACCCCGCTGACCATACTGCTTCGGGCACAGCCTGCAGTCCTTTGTCATCTTTATCATGCCCAGAGATACTTTTGAGTTGTGAGTCTCTGAAGCTGGGTACTCAGATGTAGCTGGCAGACTCCTATGTGGGAGTCTGGAAGTAAGAGGGGCAATTGATCAAAAAGAGGTGTTGGGTCTAGTTCCTGGATTTCTAAGAGGAAGGGCCAGTCAGGCCTTCCCGACTCATTGTGTCAGTCTTCTTTTTCCCTTAATGTTTATGCAAGTTTTACTTCACCCCTGAATTTGCTTAACACATTAAACCAAAGACTAATTCTAATGCATTGCAATTAGTGTGTACTAATTTGCCTATGGCGATGGGCCGTCCCGAGGGAGTGGTGAGTGTAACTGTTGGAACCCTACTCATTGCAAGCAGTACAGTTTGGTCGTGAACTTGATGTGTGTAAATCTGGGGGACAAAGCAGAAAGACCTAGAAAAAGGGCTTCTCACAGGAACCCTGTTGTTGTCCCTATTGAAGAGATAGGTTGAGTACTATATTAGTTTAAATGTTTCTGAAGGTATGGAGGCAGCTCTGAAGAATTATGTAAATAGTGCAGTCCATTATGTGATGTCACACACTTCCTGTATTTATTTGATAAGGAAGACTAATGCTGTCCCCATTCTTGTCAGAGAGATGGGACCATAGGGCTGGCTGCTGTTTTGTGTAGGACCGCCCCTGTTTGTGCTTCATGGCAGAGTATCAGAGGGTTTAGAGAGGAAAATAAGATTAGTTAAAAGGCTTTTAGTGAGATTTTTTTTAGAACCATTTGTTCCACATAATTCTTACATTGTTGGGGGGAAAAGCACAATTATACCTCTTTTATTTTTAATGTTACTTTGTCCTATTATCCTTCATTTATTTGCGAAAGTAGGGGAACCTTGTCTCCGTTATCCAGAAGCACAGATATTTGCTTGACACACTATTTAAATTCAGCCCAATCTTTAACATTAAATTTTGTATTTAAATTACTACATTTACAAATATGGGAGCTTAATGTCAACTTTTATCATTATAAATCCTAATAGTAAACATTGCAATTAGTGTGTACTAAACATGTGGCTTACAGGAGACACTCATTGTAGTTCATAGTCTAAAGTTGTTCCCAAGCCACGTCCTCCTAACAAAACTCTTTTCGCAGAGAAAAAAGTAAAATCGATGAGACAGGAAGAAAAGAGGGCAGTGTTACAGGAGAGGCAGGGCCGGGGCACCTGGCTGGGCAAGCAGAGGGCCTGACACCCCCGGCGCCACTTGTGAGCCTTCAGTTACAGATAGCTCAGCATGTTTATTAGAGCTGAAAACTTTAAAAGACCAAAGATTTGGAATTTCAACTTATTCCAATGGGATGAATTGATGGTTAATTTGGTCACCAGCAATTATGAGTCTGCTGGCCCCGGCCTTTGTGGGGTCCTTTTCCGTCTCGGACATTGTAAGGATAACACTGTAAAGTGGTGAGTCTTCCCCAGCAGTCCCTGCTTGGAGGGTGAGGAAACCCTCCTGAACCAGCAATCGCTAAGGCAGCTTTCGGAGGCGGCGTGCGCACGGGGGCTTGGACAGAGCAGGCGCGTGACTGCGATCCTGGGCAAGGCCGAGGCAGGTCCCGTTCTGCTCATTCTTTCTTACTCCAGAGAGTCAATGGGACGCCGAGACTCCCAATGAGATTGGAAGGGGCTCAGAGGGCAGGGCTTTTGTGAGTTGTTCAGATGTCCACGTGGTCCGGGAGCTGCTGCTGCTCCGACCACCCTCACGGTGAGCAGGCCGTCCTGACTCTGCCTCGGCTTGGCCCAACGAGGAGCCATGGGCACTGTGGGTCTGGAACCTGGATCTCCTTTGCTCCCTTCTCCCTTTGAATGGCGACACCTTAATCCGTGAGGGTAATGCTGGAGGGTAACGGTGGCTACTAGCCCCTTCATGAAATACCTCAGTGTAGTTTAGCATTGTTGCAGAACTGGTTTTAAACTAAAAACCAAATAAAAAGAAAAACTTATAAATATGGAAATAATTCTAGCTGTAGCATTTAGTTAACTGATGTTTATTAAGATTGATAAACATGATTAATGCTGTATGTGTTGGGATCCTGTTTATAGGTTACAGTTTATAGGGTTGGAGGGGGGTGGGGTGGGGACGAGGAGAAGGTGACTGTGTTAGAAGGATCGTTGCTCGTGTGTGTTTGTTTTTCCTTCTCTCTCTCTTACCAAAGGAAACCTGATTGTCCCTGGGACTGGGCTTGGGGTTTGTTGGCCTCTCTGTGGTCTGACCTGCTGGGCAGTGTGTGGGGCATGCAGGTGGCACTTGGGTTCAAGGTCCCCTTGGGCATTGACATCCCTTGCTAAGGCTGCCTGTGCCCCCAGATCAACCCTGCCAGCCTCTCCCAACGGCTCTTACCTCTGTGCGTAGGCGAAGGATGGCTGTGGAGTGCTGGGTAGAGGTGGCAGAAGTGCCCTGTCCACGTTGAGAGCAGAGCAGAGTGAGTGCGTGGGCCTGGTGACCTGGGCAGATGAGCGTGAGCAGCTCTGCTTGTCACCTGGTCATGTTGGAGGTGCTGGTAGCACGCACTCTCGGACTAAGGTGACTTCTGTCCAGACCAAAAATGCAAAAGAAGTTGACAGCTGTCCTGCTTGCCTCACACCCAGTGTGGCCGCTGGGGGTTGGCTGGCTGTGAGATTGAGGAGTTCCTGGGGCACGTTGGGGAGAGGGCCGCGCCTTTCTGGCCGTGCTGGAAACCGGCTTTCTTGGGCCCGAGTCCAGAGTGGGCACTTCTCCGGAAAGGCTGTTTTCCATGAACGTCAGTGGGATCCGGTTTGGATACCAAAGACACTGTTCCTGCCTTGCTTATTCTGTTTCAGCCGGCAGAGGGACTGGGAACAAAAAGCTGGAATTCGGGAAAGCTTCCTCTCCGTCCTCCCTCCCACTTCCTTCGGCGGGCCTGTTGGTCGCCGGCTTTGGAAGAGACTCCTTTAGTCCCACTCACTGGTCTGTGGGACAGATAGGCCACTCGGTGTCGCCGTGACATTCTTGGAATCGCTGAGGGCTTGGGGGCGGGGGGAAGGGGGTAGGGTTCTTTCTTTCCCTTCATCTAACACGTGTAGCACCCGTGCAGCTGAGCTCAGGTGAGTGAGAGGTGCTGGCACTGTCCCAGCACTTGTAGGAGAGAGCATTTTCAGGAGCAGGTGATGTGGAGAACCGAGACCTTCCTTGAAGCTCTGCCCATGGCGCCCGTGTCGTGTCGTTCCCAGATGTTCGTACACGTGAGCTCCTGGGGCTCATTGTTTGGGGTACTGTTGATGACCCAGAAAGGGGGGAGGGCAGGAAGTATATTGCTCTCTCACTATTGCATCAGAAACTGCCGGGTGCTGGGCTTCTGGCAGCGGTGCTGACAGGATGTGACAGTGTCAGCCTTGGCTTCGCAGAGCACTAGATGGCAGGGCCTGGGCGCTGAAGGGAGAGCACTCGAAGCAGAGGCTGTGGGATCAATGTTATGGACACCACTTTGAGTGCAGAATGGGACTCCCTGGGGCAGGCAGGGTCCCTGAGTCTGCCCACTCGGCCAGGGCTCCATCACCATCAGATAGGTCAGACCCCAAAACTAGTTTCCTGTAGAAAACAAAGCCCCTGGGTGCTCTTAGTTCCTTGCTCATTGCTGTGCTCATGGCCACACAGCAGCCAAAGGCTTCCTTCAGACCCTGCAGGCAGCTGGCTGGACACAGTGCTGTTAATGAGGATTCCAGATGCTTCTGTGCAGTCGGGCCTCCTTGGAGGGAAGGACAGAACCAGGCAGAGACTCCCTGTGCTCCCACCTCTTTAAGTGAGAGCTGTGGACAGGAAATGAGTGCACTTTCAGAAGCTCCGGACAGTGTAGCCAGGTCAGTGACCTGCCCGGGCCTCGTGGGGCACCCGGTACCGCCTGCTGTGTGAGCATGAGTTCTGCGGCCGGATTGGAACTGGCCGTTTTGCAATATAAGCCTGTCCCGAGGCCAGGTCGGGGAGACAGACGGGCTTCCAGCTTCTGACCTCCGCTCCAGCGGGCCTGTGCGCACCGCTGGCGGAAGAGGCCCGCGCTCTGCGGAGACGCCCCTCCCACCACAGGTTGCCCCCTGCCCCTTCCTCTGGTGGCTACAGGCGAGGCCAGTAAGCAAGGGCCTCCCGCCGCAGCCAGGGCGTCGTATACCTCACTCTATCGTGACTGAGTAACTTGCTTTAACTTCCTCTAAACCTTACAGAGTTGCCAAGTCTGCCCTCCCTCCCGTGAGTCATGCCGAGCTCTGGCCTATAGCATCCAGGATCTGGGGCCGGGGTGGCCCACCTAGCGCCTCTGAATGTCGCTGCTTGAAAGCTACTGCAAGAGAGGGCAAATTGCAATCTTCTGTTTCTTTTGTTGCAAGAGGTCTTCACAGGTGAGGGGCCCACTCCCCCCACCTGCCTTTAGGGGCTGGCCAGCTGTCAGCCCCTTCCCCACCTTTCCGACTGCTGGCCACACGCCAACGCTGTCCTTGCCTTTTCCTGGCGGAGGAGGCCCCCTTCCCTCCAGGCCTCGGCTCCGCTGGCTTTCGGGACTTTGGGTGGAAGGGAAAACACCAAAGAGGCCCCTTTGCGCTGACTGCTGCACACACATTTCACTTTTGTTCTCTGACATGACCAAAAAATCCAAATATTTAAGTTATTATTATTATTAGTTGACAATCTTACGTCCCATGTCCCGCGGGCTCTCAGAAGCCGCCCCAGCCCGTTTCCTTTTCTTTGAATGTAGTTCCGTCCAGCCTCAGGCCCCTCCGCCGGAGCTCCGCCAGGCCTTCCTCTGCAATACGCCAGGGAGGGCGGTTTCTTTGTTTGGTTTTGTTTTGCTTTTTAGATTTCCAACCAAAACCAAAGATTTCTTAATGATTGTATAAACTCAAAACAAACAAAAAACCAAAGAAAAGGGCAGTCTTCAGCGCGACCCAGTCTGTGGCGTCCTGGCTGGCAGAGCACGCCGGGCAGGTGGGGCTCCGGCCGCGGAGGGAGGCGTGTGCCTTCCGCATGGGCTGCCCGCGGGCGCTGGGCCTGGAGCTGGCCCTGCCTGCTTGCGAGCGCGCCGTGGAGCGCAGTGGCGTCAGAGTCTTCAGAACAGCGGACAGAACCCACCGCCACCATAGTCCGCCCACAGCGCACTGGCCCTGCCAGGCAGGGCTGGGCCCAGGACAAGGGGGCTGCTGCCGGCCCAGGACTCCACAGAGTGGGGAGCTGAGGACGCTGGCGCAGGACTGGCTGCTCTGCTGGGTGCTAGCCTCCGGGCCGCGCTGGCACGCCCGGCCCTTCGGAGCCTTCTTTCCCTTTTTCTTTCCTGGGGCTGCGGGAAGCCGCTGTCCCTCCCCCGCGGAGCGTGCCGAGCGCTATGACCTTCCACTCCCACTGTGGCTGTCCCCTCCCGCGGCTGCGCAACTATGCATCGTGTCTCACCCGTGCTAGGTAGATGCCTGTGACTTTTTACCGGGGGGCGGGGTTGCAAATGAAGGAACTTTTTACACGGATCTTTTTAATCTCAGCTTGTGGGGGTGGGGTGGGAGGGTCTTAGGGTCATACAAGCTCTATCCCAAAGCAAAACCCAAACGTTAGTAATCTTAGGCTGACGCAGATACCAAAGAGAATCCGCCTGCACCACAGACTGCGGAGTGCGGCACCGCACCCGCGTCCGTCTAACCTCAGCAGCTCCAAAGCGTAGATGTATATTTTGGTATATTTCTGGGATATTAAAAAAAACGTTGTTTAACTTCTCGTTTGTTTCCGTGTAAAGTCATAGCATGAAAATAACTGAACTGTCCTATTCTTAGTAGTTTGAAATAATAGTATTTTTGTATGTTGGGGTGTGTCTCTGTATGTATTGACATCAGTTTTCACTGCCTCGGAGTTCCTAATAAAAGAAATGAAACGCTCTGGTGTACGTGCTGTCCAGTAGTGAGCGCCCACCGTTCCTTCGGAGTGCTTTTCGCTGGTGACCCGCCCTCTGGGCTTTTTCTTTTAAAGAGACAGCGTTTTCTTCCTCTCTGTCTTTACTCCCTCACCTTCTTCTCTTTTCTTTTTTTTAATATTGATTCAGGGGTGTTTTTCCACTGTTGTCCAGGGAGGGACACGAGGGGAAATTGGCCCCTTGGCCTCCCACACATTTTTGTTTTATGTGCCTAACTTTAAAATGTGAGTTTGAGTTCTCTTTTGTGGAAACTTAAGATGTGGTGTATGATTCTTTCCAACATGGCCCAGCAGCTCTACGAGGCGGCGGCCACTCCTGGGGAGCCACGGGAGCCCTTCCGCGTCTCTCCGGCGGCTTTGCGATCTGGGTGGCTATTGTGTAGCCCCACTGCCCCAGACGCTGGGTAGCCAGCCCCCCCCCCCCCCCGGGATAGTCCATAAGAATCAGCTGATAACATGGCATGGGGGCCTTGTTTTCTGGGCTCCGGGGAACAAGTGACTTCGCATTTGGGGGGATTCGCTGATGCCTCCCGAGGCCTGAGGAGTCAGGGGACGTAAGTGGTGCTGTCTCCTTAAAAGTGCCCTTCCTGTGACCCTCCTGGGCTGCCCACGGGCTGTGGGCTTGGGAGAGGCTGTGTGGGTGGCTGAATCAGAAGGAAATGCTAGGTTTTGTGTAGATGCATTTGTCTGCTGTAACTTTTTATATATATATTAAACTTAACTGTAAGTGTACAGTTCATTTCTGTTGTAAAACATCATTAAACCATTTTTCCAAGTGTGTTTGCATTGTCTGAGTTTCTCTGATGGGGTCATATTGGTGTCTGAGTGCTTCACACAAATGCCCACCCAGACGGCTCACAGCCCTGCCCATCACCCTGAGCCGGGCCGGGTACAGGGTCTGCCCGCCTCCTGGCCAGGCCTGGGAGTTGGCAGATAGGCGTCGGCCTCAGTGGCCTCCAGGCAGCGGGGCTTGCTACCATCAAACACGCAGGCTCCTCAAAGACTCCCATTTCACTGTGGACTTGACTGCAGAGCTGACACTGAACTTGACTTTTCTAGATTTATCAACTAAACTGCCCTGCACACAGGTCCCCTGGGCCCCTCGGGAGGAAGCCGATCCTGACTCAGGCCCTGCTCTCCTGTCAGAGGCGCCCCTTCTCCCCTGAAAGGGAACCTTGAACCTGAACGCGATTTCTTTTGGGGAAATCAGCCCCCTGAGGAGCTCTGAGCGGCACTGCCTCTGCAGGTGCCCCGGCTGGCGTGGGGGTGGAAGGAGCCCGCCTCCCAGGCTGCCACCCTCTGAGCCCAGTGCAGAGGGGTGGCCTCGGCCTGCTGCTCACACTGCTCAGGCTTCTCCCGCTTCTTGCATTTAAGTTGGTGAAGTTATTTCCTTAAAACGATTTCACGTTTTTAACAGGAATCCCATTGGCAGAGAGAGTGTGTGCTCACCAGCATGAGAAAGGCCTTAGAAGGCCAAGCCCACTGCTCAGTCCTAGGGGGTGAGGAAAAGTGCTGGTCCCTCTGTTTCCCCGTCCTTTGTACGAGGTGGGATGGCCCTGCCAGGTCCCCGTGGTTAGATCCTTGGCTGGTGCACCGAAGGGGCATGGTTCAACCCCTCCTCAAGGGCACACACCTGGGCTGCAGGTTCGATCCCTACCTGGTCGGGCGCATGCAGGAGGCAAGCAATCAATGTCTCCCTCCCTCCCTTCCCCTCTCTAAAAATCAATGGGAAAAAACCCTCAGGTGAGGATTAACAAAAATCAACAGAAGGTGGGTATGTTCTAACCCACTTTGAGTGGCATGAGGGACTCACCAGTGAGAGCTGAATACTCTGCTACCTTTTTTTTCCAAAGTCGAGGGCGGCTCTCACTGGGGCTCCGTCTGTCAGCAACTCAGTCCTCCCAGCCTGGCGTCCGCGCTGTGTGGTCATCCTGCATGTGCACGCGTGCCTACACCCACACACACCCGCCCGCCCAGATGTCAGCCCAGAGCTCAGCCAGCTCGCTCCCGGCCTTCATTCACATTCTTGACACAATGGGTCAAACGCTGTGCCAAGCCAGCCGTGGGTCACATAATGCGGCCACCTTGACCCCAGTGTGGGTGCGTGCACTCGCTTTGCCTGGTGATGGCCAGCATCGGCCTCTGAAAGGGGTGAGCGGGGGTTGCAGCCGCAGCCAAGCCTGAGCGGCGGCAAAGGCAGCGAAGTGGCGCCAGGTCTTCCCGGCCCCCGCCTGGTGCCTCGACCGGCGGACAGTCTGGTCCTCGGGCGCTCCTTCCACGTCCGGGCTCCTCCGTCCGTGCCGGCTGGCCACACACCTGCCGTGCCCACGCCCTGACCCTGCAGAGCCTACTCCGTCCTTTCAGACAACGTGGCTGGAACCGGGGCCAAATGGGAATCCCCAACTGGGACCACTCCCTGCTCTTCTCCCTGGTGCCTGCCACCCGCTGGGCACAGAGGGGCTGCTGCCGGCATGTTGGCCATAGGAAGGTGGGTTCCCGGCTTCCAGGTGAGGGGCAGGGCACCTTCCCTGTGTCAGAGGTGCCTGGCATTTCTGTCTGGGTCCCTGAGACTCTGGCTTTAGCAGCTGTGGCCCGAACTTTGCTTTTGAACAAGTGAAGGTATTGACCCATAGAAATGGGTGGATTGATGTTTCCAGACACCTTTTGTGAGAGAGATTGACATGGAGTCCTCTGTTGTCCCCGAACCCCATGGCATCAGTACAAATGGGTCCCAGCCTCCCTCTGCTGCACGTGCTGCCCGTCCCAGTGCCTGGGGCCGAGGGCTGGGGCCTCTCCTGTTCATCCCCCTCACCCAGGTCAGAGCCAGGCTGAGCCCTGCCCGCCTTTCAGGAATGAAGGCCCTTCCCTTCACTCTGTCCCCACGCCGCCTGCCCGTCCCTCTGCATTCACCTCACACTGCACCCATGTCAGGCCCCGTCCACCACAGCCTCCTGGGCCCTGGGCACTGATGCCCCATGCTCCAGGAGAGGGCAACAGGCTGGTTCCTAAGACTTAAGTGCTCATCAAGGACCTGGGTATTGAAATAAAGCTCCGCCTAAAGCAGTGTTGTCACTGAAGCGTTTATTATGCAAAGAGCAAGGCGTTAGCAAACCAGCATGAAGGAAGCCCAGCGGGGAGAGGCTCCTTCCAGGCCCCTGTCTTGTGGCGGGGCCTTCACGTGGCGGGTTTGTCCTGAGTTCAGTGTGACATGAACAGGTGCCAGGGAGCCACGGCCTTCCCCGCTCGGGCGCCCGCCTCGGCTCCCCACGTGCCTCCTGAAGGATGTGGGCTCTTGAAGGCCCAAGCATGTCCATCTCTCAGGCCCCCGTGTCCGGCTCCCGGACACCAGGGGAAGGGACGCCGGCCGAGGGAGGCCTGTACTCCAGGTTCTGGAGCCTTCAGGCAGCCCCAACCCAGCCCCTCCATCCACAGGGCTCTGCCGGGACCTTCTGGGCCCAGGGACAGCTGCCGAGCGGTGAGGGACGGCTGACAACAGAAGCCAAATGTACAGCAGGAGCCAAGCCGCTCAGGTGCCCACAGCACAGACTGCCGGACGGCGCTGGCGTTGGGGCTCCTTCGGGACGCGACAAAACAGACTAACGAGCTTGGCTGTGAGGGGTGTGCGGCCCCAGGTCCGAGCCACGGTGCCCGGGCCCCCGGCAGACAGGAGCCGAGGACTGGACAGGCCCGACCGCACACCCTCACGTGCGAGGTGACGCTGAATGGAGCTGGGGATGGGAGGGGACCAACGTGACACACGAGCGTCCTGCGTGACAGAGGACTGCGGGGCAGGAGCGAACTGTACATGCTTTTTCCTGGGCCGTTTACAATCTGGGCGTCTGTGGGTCTGTCTCCCTGTGGGTGATGGTCCTGGGCTGCTAGCGAGGGGGCAGCGTCTGCATGTGGAGGGCGTCATAGGTGTCTTTGGTGGCCGCACTGAGCCCCTGGTGAGGGAGGAGGAGAAGACGGGTCAGAAGCCGCACCTGCCCGCCTGGGCACCTGCCCGCCGGAGCCCAGGCGGTGTGCGCAGCCCGGCCTGTGCCCCCACCCGCCTCCAGAGGCCCGAGAACCACCTCTCCTGCCCATGGGAGAGGGCTCTGTCCCTGCTGGGTGTGTCCTGAGGCTCCTTCCTGAAAGCTGTGGCTGCCCCTGGCAGCGCTGTAAACAGCCAGCCTCCTGTCCTCACAGCCTGTCTCCGGGGAACACTCTCCCTCCGGGCCCGCCTGGCAGGTGGGTGAGTGGAGGAGGAGCCGGCGGGGAGGCCCTGGGCTTTGCACACTTATCCCCGTGATTCCAAAAGCCAGGCTGCTGACTGCAGCACTTCCTTCCCAAACTGTGCCTTCCCTTCATCTTTCCCCTCGGTCCTCCCCATTCCTGCCAGCTCACTGGTGTGCCAGCGAGGCAGCCGAGGCGGCTGCCGGGCCCAGCGTGGAGGAGTGGCCCGGGCGGTGGGTCCTGGGGCTCGGCCCTGGCGGCAGCGGCTCCTGTGCGGGCACCAGTGCCCCGGCCGCGCCTGTCCGGGTGGGAACCCAGGCGTGTGCCTGATGCCGCCCGAGGGGGCCCTGGGCTCGCCCTGCCCAGGTGTTGGCAGGAGCATGGAGCCTGGCCGGCCTCTGTGAGGCGGCACCGGGGGGAGGGCACAGCGGGCGGAGACGGGCATCGCACTCACCTGGTAAAGGCCGTCGGGCCCCTTGCCTCTGCGACGCTGGTTCTGTGGAGACAGGACGGGCGGGTCAGGCAGGCCGCGGGGTCCTGCCCCCTCCCTCCGGCCATGCGGCGGGCAGACCTGGCCTCTGCGGGGAGGCGAGGCCGGCTGCAGGCCGTGTGCTCTGGAGCGGAGCCACAGGTGCCAGGGCCGGGCCGCGGCTGCAGGAAAGGCCCGGCGGCCCCTGCCCCTCCGGCGGCGGGGAGCGGGGGCAGGGCAGCCCCGGCTCCGTTCTGTCTCTGTGACAGGCGCCCGCGCCCCCTCTGACACGCACTGTCACTGGCGGTGACAGGCTGGCACGCCCTGGCAGAGCGCTGGCTGCCCGGGATCGGCTGGTTTTAATCCCCAAAGAGCATCGGCCCTTCGTCCGTGTCTTCTGTGCAGCCAATGGGAGGAGCTGGGTGACCTCACCTCTGCAGCCACCACGGGGCTTTTGCAGGTGGTGAGACAGGTGGACGGAGGCCCCGGCAGGCGCAAGGGCAAGACCGAGAGGGCCTTCTTGGGAGCCCCCCGCCCCATCCCTCCACCTCCCCAACCCTCTCCCCCCGGCCCAGCACTCACCTCGCCTTTCATCCCGATCTCGCTGTAGGCCTCCGCCATCTTCTCCCTCTGCAGCGCCTGGAGGGGCAGAGGGCATGGCTCACTGACTGAGGCGAAGCATGCACCTCCCTCCCTCCCGCAGCCCTGGGGGCTCCCTTGGAGGAGCTCGGCCCAGCCGGGAGGTGGGGAGGCTCAAGGGGGTAGGGAGGCTCAGGGGGTTGGGGGAGGATCAGGAGGGTGGGGGAGGCTCAGGGGGTTGGGGGAGGCTCAGGAGGGTGGGGGAGGCTCAGGGGGGTAGGGGAGGATCAGGGAGGTGGGGAGGCTCAGGAGGGTGGGGGAGGCTCAGGAGGGTGAGGGAGGCTCAGGGAGGTGTGGAGGGTGGGGAGGCTCAGGGGGGTGGGAGCGACATTCCAGCTGAAGGCACCCACGCAGGATGGCGCAAGCTCCCCGGGGCCCCGGAATCATGTGGGTGAGCAAACTGTCACCCCGCCCGGCAGACCCACACCAACGCCAGACCCACCGCGACGGCGAGGTCGACCGTCCGCGAGCTGAGGCCAGGAGGCTCCAGCCCCCGGGAAGGTGCCCCCAGAGGGATGGCCCGGCCCGACCTGGAGGCCCCGGCCCACCGGGACCCCAGAGCCCGGCTTCCTGCCGCCTGGGGAGCGGAGGCCCCGCCCAGCCCTCCTCGCCCACTTTCTACTCACGTTGTACAGGCCCTCCTGGGGGTTCTTCCTCCTCTGCGGGGGGAGAGGCGTCAGGGGGAGCGGCCAGGGCACCCGTCACCCCCCTCAGCCCGGCAGCTGGCGGGGCGGCCCTCTCACAGGCCTGTCCGAGGCCTGCCTGCCCCACACTGACACACGGACACACACTGACACACACATACACACGCTGACACACAGACACACTGACACATACACACGCTGACACACACTGACACACGCATATACACACTGACACACACTGAAACACGCATATACACACTGACACACACTGACACACGCATACACACACTGACACACACTGACACACGCATACACACACTGACACACACAGACACACGCTGACACACACACGCTGACACACAGACACACGCTGACACACACTGACACACGCATACACACACTGACACACACTGACACACACACGCTGACACACACGCATACACACACTGACACACACTGACACACGCATACACACACTGACACACGCATACACACACTGACACACACAGACACACGCTGACACACACACGCTGACACACAGACACACGCTGACACACAGACACACACTGACACACGCATACACACACTGACACATGCATACACACACTGACACACGCTGACACACACTGACACACACACACGCTGACACACACGCATACACACACTGACACACGCATACACAGACACACGCTGACACACACTGACACACACACACGCTGACACACAGACACACGCTGACACACATACACTGACTCACACATACACATGCTGACACACACACACTGACACAGACACACGCATACACACACTGACACACGCTGACACACACTGACACACACACACGCTGACACACACGCATACACACACTGACACACGCATACACAGACACACGCTGACACACACTGACACACACATACACACGCTGACACACACACGCTGACACACACACGCTGACACACACACACGCTGACACACGCTGACACACACACACACTGACACACAGACACACGCTGACACACAGACACACGCATACACATACTGACACACACATACACACACTGACACACGCTGACACACACTGACACACACACACTGACTCACACATACACACGCTGACACACACACGCTGACACACAGACACACGCTGACACACACATACACACGCTGACACACACGCTGACACACACACGCTGACACACACTGACACATGCTGACACACACACTGACACACAGACACACGCTGACACACACACACGCTGACACACACTGACACACGCTGACACACACAGACACACGCTGACACACAGACACACGCTGACACACACTGACACACGCATACACACACTGACACACGCTGACACACACTGACACACGCTGACACACACTGACACACACACGCTGACACACAGACACACGCTGACACACATACACTGACTCACACATACACACGCTGACACACACACACTGACACAGACACACGCTGACACACACATACACACGCTGACACACACACGCTGACACACACACACGCTGACACACACACGCTGACACACAGACACACGCTGACACACAGACACACGCTGACACACACTGACACACGCATACACATACTGACACACACATACACACACTGACACACGCTGACACACACTGACACACACACGCTGACACACAGACACACGCTGACACACATACACTGACTCAAACATACACACACTGACATATACACACGCTGACACACACGGACACATGCTGACACACACGGATACACACTGACACATACACACGCTGACACACACACACACGCACTGACCCATACACTCTGACACATTCTCACACACACAGAGACACACTCTGACACATTCTCATACACACACACTAACACACACACACACACACACACACACACTGACCCACACTCTGACTCATTCTCACACACACACACTCTTTCTCTCACACACGCGCGCACACACACGCTCACACACAGGCGGAAAGAGGAATTCCGACCTGCTTCCCGCCCATCTCCGGGTCACGGCCGCGCCTCTTGTCCAGAAGGTCGTACTCCTCTCTCCTCCCCAGGTTGAGCTCCTGAAACGGGAGGTGTCAGAGGCGGTGGCCCCCAGCTCTCGGGAGGAGCGGGGCTGGGCGGGTGGTGACTGGCCCCTGGGTGCCAGCGTCTCGGAGCACATGCGGGCGATGCCCAGGAGTGCCACCCAGTGAGGGTCCTCCCATTCCCATCCCACCTCTACCCTCACCCACCAGCCTCCACCCCCTCCTCGCCCCCCCGACCTCTACCCCCACCTCCTCCCACGCCAGCCTGTATCTGAGCACCAGCCGGTGTGCTGAGCAGGCGCTGCCCAGGCACCCAACCCTGGGTTTGCACCAAGACAGCGTTTCCCAGAGAAACCCAGGCCTCGCAGGCTGCGGGGGGCAGGGGGGGACTCACGTTGTAGACCTGGCTGGGGCCCTGCATTTGCTCCGGGCTGTCCGCGCTCCGGCCGAACTGGAGGGAGAGCAGAGCGTGAGCGCCCGGCCCTACCACCCGCAGTGTCACCCCTGTGAGCGCCGTCTGTCCGCCCTGGACTGTCGGCCGCCGGGGACACTGCAGCCCGTGCCGGCGGGCGGGCGGGCGGGCGGCGTCAAGCGAGGCCCAGAGAACCCCTCAGCCCCCCCCCCCCGAGGGCACCCGCCAGCGGCGGCTGCACAGGGTCCCGCCTGATGTGCACCCAGGACCAGGGCGGCCGGGCACGGATGGGCGTCTAGAGGCCCCACCAGGGCACAGCCCCCTCCTGCCAGCCTGCCGCAGCCAGAGCCCCGCCCGGGCAGCCGGCACCACCGGCCGGCGGCCGTTCGCACGGAAAGGAGGCAGCAGCGCTGCTCCTCAGACAGAGGTTCCCGCGGCTCCAAACAGCCGAGGCCGGTGCTGCGGAGAGCAAGGTGCAGCACCCCCTTCTCGCCTCCTTCCCACCCCCCAGGCTAACCCCCTCCCCTCCCCCAGCTTCCCTCCGAGAAAGCCAGGCCCTGCTCTGGGCCCCTTCCCACTTCCTGCTGGGCCTGCACCGGCCGCTGGACAGGGACCTGGGGAGACCTCAGGGCCCCCCTCTCTGCTCCCAGCTGCTGAAGCACACGACCATTTCCTGCCAGCGACACCCCCCCACACGCACGTGCACACACACACACACACACACACACACACACACACACCGGGGTGCGCACCAGGACCGAGGGCCACTCTGGCTCAGCCCCCAAAGGGCACACCAGGCCGCAGGACCCCCCGGCCCAGCCCCCTGCGCACGCACCTTGGCCCGCAGGAACAGGGCGGTGATGATGACGCCGTAGACGAACAGGATCCCGTCCAGCAGGTAGCAGAGCTTGGGGTCCAGCAAGCCGAAGCTCTGGGCCTCTGTGCGGAGAGAGGGGCGGTCAGCCAGGCCCTGGGGACAGACACGACCCCGGGGGCCCCACGACTGGACACGGAAACCATGGCAAGGCCCTGGATCTACTCCCCGTCCTCCCCCTGACCCCACCTCCCTCACACCCCCTGGGACCCCAGGGCGGGCATGACACCTGGGGGAGCCCCGAAGCCTGGGCAGCCGGGAGGGAGGCAGAGATGGGGGGCGGGGGGGCGCGCGAAGCTGTCTGTCCGCTGCGGTCAGGGCAGAGCTTGGGGCCACAGGAGCCGGCTGTGCACGCCCGTGGGAGCCGCACACCGGAAGCCTCTGCCTGCCCAGGTCTGGGAGGGTGGGACCATCGGAGTTCCCGTGTGGCTCCCTGACAGGGACAGACAGGCGGGTGGTGGAAGGAGGGCAGCCCAGCCTCTGACTCCAGTGTAACTGGCAGACAGTGGCTCTGGCGCTGGCTTCCCTCCCCTGGGCCCGGGGCCTCAGGAGCAGCAGACGGAGGAGCCGTAGGTGATCCCCTCCCCCCGACCCTGGCCGGCTCCTGCTCCAGGACCTAGTTCATGGCCTCAGGCCCGCTCCCCAACCCGCCGGTACCATTCCCGGGCACACTGCTCTCCCACACTGTGCCTCTGTGCTTTGCACATGCTGTTCCCTCTGTGTTCCCTCCCTTTCTGTCCCCGCAGCCCAGCTGCCATCTGTGACCATCAGAGGCAGCGACACAGCCATCAGAGGCCCTGCTGCTCAAGCCTCTCCCACCACAGCACCAGGGCCCTCCCCACGCCAGTTTGCCTGACTGTAGGGTGCACGTTTAGCTGGCACTGCATTGGAGCCTGGGGGCTGGGGAGAGATACGGTGAATATTCTGGTTAAATAAAAGTTGGATTTTATTTGAAAGCTCATTGAGCTGTGAATAGGAGGCAGGGGCTGTAACAGCCCAGACTGTCCTTCCCACTGGGAACGTGTGTGGCCTCTCACCCCCACCACGGGGTGCAGCGTCTGTCTGTCTGCCACCCGCCAGGTTTATCAGGAGGTGACTTGCCAGATGCGTCCCAGTGTCACGGCGCCCTCTGGTGGCCACTGAGGGAATCGCTAGCATGCCCTTGAGCGGTGTCTTATCCCCATTGACTGATTTGAGGCAAGTTATTCACCCTCGTTCAGTTGCCTCTTTGAAAAAAAATTATATGTATATATACTTTTATTGATTTCAGAGAGGAAGGGAGAGGGAGAGATAGAAACATCAATGATGAGAGAGAATCCTTAGCCTGCTGCCTCCTGCACACCCCCCACTGGGGATCAAGCCCACAACCTGGGTATGTGCTCTTGACCGGAATCAGACTGGGACCCGTCAGTCCACAAGCCAACCCTCTATCCACTGAGCCACACCGGCCAGGGCTCAGCTGCCTCTCTTGTTAAACGGGTGGAAACGTGATGTCTCCGTGTTTACTCTGTGCCAGACCTGCTTCCATGCAGTGGCTGGTCAGCTCCTCACCGCAGCACCCTGGGCACTGAGGCACAGAGAACTTCCGGGTTAGCAGAGCTCACAGCCAGCGCATCCCCCTCACCCTCCCTCCTCCACTGCGCCCGGCAGGAGCTACGCTTTGGCTTCTCCCAGGAGCCAGGGGAGCAGGGGTCCAGGCACCCCAGAGCCTCAGTCACTCCGCCCTCAAACCTGTGGCCCCTCCCCAGGGCGGCCTCTCCGGGGCCCGGCAGCTGACGGCCTTGAAAATCCCCACATTCTCGCTCAGACGCCCTGACAGCCATTCCCGAGGGCGAAGCCCACAATCCTCACCACGGCCTCCAGACACAGCTGTCCGTTCCTCCCCCCGCCACTGCCAGCCCCACCTGCTCCCAACGTCCGCCTCACCCCTGAACATGCAGGGCGGGAGCCTGGCCCCGCGGAGTGCTCCCCCCTCTGGCTGCAATGCTGCAGACCCATGGCGCCATCGTCTGCCTGCGCCTTGACCTCAGCCCCGGGCACCGTGCAAACGTCCCCCGGGTGTGGAGGCATCTTCGGGGGAAGCCCGCCCTGCCCCAGTCAGGCTGCCCGCGGCCCAGGCAGGGCTGTGAGTCCCAGACACCGAAGCTGGGCTGAGTTCTCCCTGTAGGACAGGAGAGGGGGTGTCGCCGTGATTTAGGGGGCGCTGGAAGGAATCACTGGTGCTGTCATAAATGAGAGCAGAAAGCGACCGCACAGCCGATTTCGAACCATAAGAAGGAGCGTTTGTTTGAGCCCCAGGTGGGTGGACTGTGGCCTCCACGGGGGTAAGTAATGGGGAAGCTTTTCTCTTCTCTTTTCGAAGAGCAGCTTGGTTTCTGACCGAATGACAGGGTGTGTGTGTGGTTGGGCCGGGTGGGGGGAGGGGCTCCCTGCCGGCCAGCTGTGCCCGTGCTGGGAGGAGTGGGCTGAGGGAGGAGTGGGCTGAGGCCGGCAGGGGTGGCCCAGAAAGTTCCACAAAGGGCCCAGGGCCAAGTTCAACTATATAATTAAGTAAATATTTACAGCCCCTCCCCCGAGGGAACCCCCACATCTGGACAGACACCGGCAGATGTGGACACTGAAGTCTGGCCTGTCCGTGCTGCTGGGCAGGTGTCTTCTGGCAGGTGCCCAGGCCCAGGCCTCAGGCACAGGGACACCAGGCAGACACAGGTGTCTGTGCAGGTGACTCAGCTTAGTCCCAGCAAAGCATGTCCCTCTGACGCCCGCCAAAAAGCAGCTGCAGCCGCCAAGGAGCTGGATCTGCACACTCAGACCCCCTGCAGGGGAGTGGGGTTAGCACACTCAGGCCCCCACAGGGGAGCGGGGTTAGCACACTCAGGCCCCCTCAGGGGAGTGGGGTTTGCACACTCAGGCCCCCTCAGGGGAGTGGGGTTTGCACACTCAGGCCCCCACAGCGGAGCGGGGTCTGCACACTCAGGCCCCCACAGGGGAGCGGGGTCTGCACACTCAGGCCCCCACAGGGGAGCTGGACCTGCACACTCAGGCCCCCTGCAAGGGAGCGGGGTCTGCACACTCAGGCCCCCACAGCGGAGCGGGGTCTGCACACTCAGGCCCCCACAGGGGAGCGGGGTCTGCACACTCAGGCCCCCACAGGGGAGCTGGACCTGCACACTCAGGCCCCCTGCAAGGGAGCGGGGTCTGCACACTCAGGCCCCCTCAGGGGAGCGGGGTTAGCACACTCAGGCCCCCTCAGGGGAGCGGGGTTAGCACACTCAGGCCCCCTCAGGGGATCGGGGTCTGCACACTCAGGCCCCCACAGGGGAGCGGGGTTTGCACACTCAGGCCCCCACAGCGGAGCGGGGTTTGCACCCTGGGGAGGTAGGGGCCCCACCTGCACCCTCAGTATTTCGCAGCCATGAGATCACCAGCCAGCACATTGGCTGCGAGGCCCCTCACACATTTGGGGGAGCTCCGACGGCCAAACTGAGAACCTGGGTTCTGGCCGTTCACCTGCCCCGGATGTTACCCCACAAGTAAGCAGTGACAGCCGGGGGCCACAGCCTGTCTCCCCGGGGAGGGAGGGAGCCCACAGACAGCCAGCAGCTCCCTCTCTGAAATCCTCCCTGGGCGCAGCACGGCTGTGCTGGCCTCTGAGTGACGGCCGCGCAGGGCACTGCCGTGGCTCTGTGGGTCTCCTCCCCGCCCTCCCGCAGCCCCTGTGGACACTCCACTCTGCCTGGCACAGCCCCGGAGCCAAGCCAGGTCGCCCCTCCTGCCCAGCGCGAGCCCAGGCCCTGCCCTTCGGGGGCAAAGTCCCCCAGTTTCTCCCGGTTTTTACTTTCGGCCTCGAATCAGGGAGGCGCCCGGAGGAGACTCGGGGAGCAGAGAGGACCAGTGTCTCTCCATCCGGTTCACCGCGCCTAACGTGTGTCTTACCGGAGAGAGCTGAGCCGCACCACACCCTCGGCCATCTCCCGGGAGGACCCACCCAGTCCCAGCAAGACCGGGCCGGCGGCCTGGGGGAGGCCCTCCTGGCGGAGCGGCCCCTCGGGGATGTCTGTCAGTGTGCTGTGTGCTGTGTGTCTGCCCCCGCCCGACGGGCGCTCCGGCACAGGGAGGACGGTCCTCGGTCCGCCTGGTGCTGCCATGCCTGGCGCTGCAGACACCTGGTGCCTGTCGCCTCCAGTCGGACTCCCTCACCCCATCTGCTCAGGGGGCCTCTCATCTGAACCCCGATGTGCACTTCGTCCCAGGGCTTCGGCTTGCTCTCACCAGAGAGTTTCTTCACTTAAAATGCCTCCCGGTGCCTGATGCCTGTGAGGCCCAGGGCAGCGGGGGGGGGGGGGGGGGGGGGGGCAGGGGCGGCGATCGGGCCGGGGTTTCTTTGTCGGAGGATACATGGAGGCTGGAGCGATGGGCACTCCCCTAGGCCCCCTCCTGAGAGGGGCGGGCTGGGTGCACCTAAGGGTCCCTGACTCCGGAGGTCCCTTCCCTCGGTGCCTCAGGTGCCCTCACCTTTGAGGACAGGACACAGAGCTCCCCGTCCCCAAGTCCACAGCCGGCCGTGGTCCCTCAGTCACGGCTCCTCGGTAGGCTCCACTCGACGCCCCTCCCCCACAACCTCCAAAGCACAGACGGTGGTTTTGGCTTCATTTGCTTCTTTCCCGCCACACCCCCCGCCTCCCCAGGCCGCCGGGGACGAGGGGGGACCGAGAGCCCGAGGGCCAGGAACACGGAGACCCAGAGTCTGCCTCTGCCTCTTCCTGGCTCTGTGTCCTGGGACAACGTTCTTCGCCTCTGAGCCTGTCCCCCCCAGGGGCTCAGCAGGCCTGTGTTCTGGGTGACACAGGGGACCGCGGGGAGGTGCCTGCCCGGGGCCTGCTGGGCCCCCAGGGCTCAGCCTCGTTGCCTCCAGAGGGCGCTGTGGGCGCCGCAGCATCAGGGGGGCCGCCGGGGCGCTAACCCGGGGCCTTGGGGTTGGCCCCCCTTGTAAGAACCTCCCCTCTGGCCCCTCCAGCTTCTGCTTGCATTCTTCGGTGACAGGGAGCTCGCCGCCCCTCAGGCC